GCTGGGAATTGAACTCAGGACCTCTGGAAGAGCAGTCAGTGCTCTTAACCTCTGAGCCATCTCTCCAGCCCTGAGATTTCATCTTACACTTGTCAAAATGGCTAAGATCAAAACCACAAATGACAGCTCATGCTGGGAGGATGTGGAACAAGGGGAACATGTCTCTCTTGCTGGTGGGAATGCAAACTTGTACAGCTACTTTGGAAATCAATATGGTGGTTTCTCAGAAAATTGGGAATTGGTTTACCTTAAGACTCTGCTATACTATTTGTAATAGCCAGAAACTGGAAGCAGCCTAGATGCCCCTTAACTGAAGAATGGAGAGAGAAAATGTGGTACATTTACACAATGGAATACTACTCAGCGGAAAAAAACAATGGAATCTTGAAATTTGCAGGAAAATGGATGGAACTAGAAGAAACCATTCTGAGCGAGGTAACCCAATCACAGAAAGACAAACATGGTATGTTCTCACTCATATGCAGATTTTAGACATAGTGTAAAAGATTACCAGCCTACAATCCACACTGCCAGAGAAGCTAGTAAACAAGGAGAACCCTAAGAGAGACATACATGGTCCCCTGGAGAAGGGGAAAGGGACAAGATCCCCTGAGCAAATTGAGAGCACGGGAAGAGTCAGAAAAGGTCAGGCCTCCCATAGATATTAACCAAACATGGTATATCAAGTTGCAGTAATACTAGGCATCCACCCTGTACTAAGACTGGACAAGGCAACTCAGTATGAGGAAAGGGTCCCAAAAGCAGGCCAGAGAGACAGAGACATCCCGTACTCTCACTGTTAGGAGCCTCACAAGAAGGCCAAGCTACACAATTGAAACATGCAGAGGGCCTTGGTAAGTCCCATGCAGGTTCCCTGGTTATTGGTTCAGTCTCTGTGAGCCCTTATGAGCCCAGGTTAGTTGAATCTGTGGGTTTTCCTGTAGTTTCCTTGGCCCCTCTGGCTCTCAGAATCCTTCCTTCCCCTCTTCCATAGGATTCCGAGGTCTGCCTAAGGTTTGGCTGAGGATTTCTGCATCTGTTTCCATCTATTGCTGAGTGAAGCCTCTGATGACAATTGGGCTAGACACCAATCTATGAGTATAGTAGAATACCATTAGTATCATTCCATTGACTTTTTTGGGGGACGGGGTAGTAATGTTTGGTTCTGTTCTAGGTCTCTGGCCTATCCATCCTGTGTCCTGGTGCTCCAGGTAGTGTCATGGATGGGCTCGATCTTGTAGCATGGGCTTCAGGCCGGACCAGGCATTGGGTGGCCACTCCCACAATTTCTGTGCCACCTCTACCCCAGCACATCTTGTAGGCAGGACAAATGGTAGGTTGAAGTTTTGTGACTGGGCTGGTTTCCCAGTCCCTTCACTGGAAGTTTTGCCTGGTTCCAGGAAATGGCTCCTTCAGGCTCTGTATCACCTATTCCTAGGGTTCTGGGAATTTTCATTTCATTAGATTTCTAGGTCAGCCAAAATGCCCCCTTTCCCAGTCATCTCTTCCAGCCCTCTCCGCTTGCACCTCACCTCCCGATCCCTCCCGTATTGAGAGATTCCACAGAGCCATTGCATCTGGCTTGAATTCCGGAGTGATAGCACTAGGCTTTGAACTACCTTCTGTTTAAAATCAGTGATTCTTATCTGAGGTGCTTTTTTGAAGGAATTACAGACCCTTTCATAACTTAGGCTGGAGAATACCTGGAAATCTAGGAGGTCTCATGAGTGAGATTTGCTTAGGCAAATGGTTCCTTCAAACAACTCCATATGAGGTTCCGGTATTCGGAAATTGGCTTGCCAGAGGTGTAATAATAAAGGAGGATTTCCAAAGCCATGGAGCAGTCAGTTCACCTGATGCTGGCTCCCCTGATGCAGTTGCTAAGCCTGAATCACATTTTAGAGTGACGCTTTTTCTTTGACTGACCCATGCAACACAGAAGACTGACACCTCGTTTCCATCTCCATCTACTCCTCATCTACCCTCAAAATCTATTCTATTTCCCCTTCCCAGACATTTCCAAGCATTTCCTCTTGGTTCCCTCCTTGTTACCTAGCTTGTTTGGGTCTATGGATGGTAGCATGGTTATCCTTCACTTTACAGCTAACAATCACTTATAAGTGATAACATACCATGTTTGTCTTTCAGGGTGTTGCCTGCAAATTTCATGATGTCATTGTTTTTAACAGCTGAGTAATACTCCATTGTGTAGATGTACATTTTCTTTTTCCACTTTTTGGTTGAGGGATATCTAGGTTATTTCCAGGTTCTGGCTGTCTTATCAGGGAAATGAAAAGCAAACACTCTGAGATTTCATCTTTTTTTTTTTTAAGATTTTATTTATTTAATATGTATACAACATTCTGCTTCCATGTATATCTGCACATCAGAGGAGGGCACCAGATCTTATAAGGGATGGTTCCCATGTGGTTGCTGGGAATTGAACTCAGGACCTCTGGAAGAGCAGTCAGTGCTCTTAACCTCTGAGCCATCTCTCCAGCCCTGAGATTTCATCTTACACTTGTCAAAATGGCTAAGATCAAAACCACAAATGACAGCTCATGCTGGGAGGATGTGGAACAAGGGGAACATGTCTCTCTTGCTGGTGGGAATGCAAACTTGTACAGCTACTTTGGAAATCAATATGGTGGTTTCTCAGAAAATTGGGAATTGGTTTACCTTAAGACTCTGCTATACTATTTGTAATAGCCAGAAACTGGAAGCAGCCTAGATGCCCCTTAACTGAAGAATGGAGAGAGAAAATGTGGTACATTTACACAATGGAATACTACTCAGCGGAAAAAAACAATGGAATCTTGAAATTTGCAGGAAAATGCATGGTATGTTCTCACTCATATGCAGATTTTAGACATAGTGTAAAAGATTACCAGCCTACAATCCACACTGCCAGCTTGGGAGCCTATTCCACATAGGGGAATACTCCCTGAGCCAAGACACATGGGGGGTGGGCGGGTGGGGGGTGGGCCTAGGCCCTATCCCAAAGGATATGATAGACTCTGATGACCCCCTATGGAAGGCCTCACCCATCCAGGAGGAGCACAAAGGATATGTGATAGGTAGGGTTTTAGTTGCAGGGGAGGGGGTGTTAGGGGAGGACGGGAGGGAGAAGGGTACTGGATTGTCATGTAAAACAATCTTGTTTCTAATTCAAATAAAAAAATCTGAAAGAAAAAAAACTCTGCTATACCACTCTTGGGCATATACATAAAGGAAGCTCTGTCACACTACAAGGACACTTGCTCAGCAATGGTCATAGCAGGACTATTCGTTAACAGCTAGGAAAGACTTTTAAAAAAGCAACAAAAACGCCTGTCATAGCATGCCTTGTGAGGTTGTGGGTCATGGGAATGCTTAGGATTTGTCTGACTGTTGTGGAGCCAGGGAAAACTGAGTAATGTTAACTACCCATCCCTCCTGAGACAGTGTGAGGGCAATCATTCCATCAGTCCCTGATGGACTGGCTAATCAGAGCCATTAGGATCCGAGCCATTGGTTATCTGTCTGGAGTCCCCACAAATAGGGGTTGGGGGAGCATAGAGGGGCAGACGCTATTGAGGGGACTAGGGATAAGAGAAGTCATGTTTGAACCCTAGTTTGATGGGCCAGACAGAACTGTTGGCAGAGGAGTTAAAGAAAAGGCTGACCCAGCAGGGATCTAGAGGCTGACGGGGAGGTTTAGCAGCTTTGGGGAGTCTGTGGTGGGCACAGTCTTTAAAAAGTAGGGAAGGTTTTAGCAGATCAAAGTGTCTTAGACCTGCATGTGAAGTATCTGTAAGGAGAGAACAACTTAGAGAACACAGAAAGATGCCAAAGCAGAGGAAGGCCTGTCTCGTTCTCAGAGACAAATGTGGCAAGATTTGTGTCAAGCTGAAATTCCTAAGGGAAAACCCGATAGACAGCTGAATTGATATAGTGTGCTAAGAGGCTTCTGGAAGCCTTTAAAGTCTGAGGAGTTCACAGAAGACACCAGTGACAGAACAACGTAAGTGAAGGTGGCCCAATGGAGGATGGAACTTTTTCTATGATGTATGAGACCTTGGCTCATTAGCATCTTTTTAGTTGTGAACCTCTGGGATCATATGAGACTTGCTGAGGACAGGTGACAGCAGACTTTCAGAGTGCTTCACCATTTGTACTATTTGCTATGGGATGGTGGTTTGGGGTGTTGTCTTACCTGGCCCATCTTCTGTAAAAAGGTTTTGTTATATAATAACATAATGCTAATCTGTGACCTGTGTTTTGCAAGTTTGGAAAGCCACTGGAGACAAATGGTATGTCCATCTACATTACAAACCTACTGGGACTGGGTGTATTGAAAGGAAAAAAAGGTTCCCTAATGGGTGGAAAAGAACATCTTTCACCATAAGGTTATTGAATGAAAACCCCAGTGCCAGGGGTGGGCTACCTCCTTGTGATTGTTGACCAGGGAAGCCCTCTAGGCCTCACAAACCATAAAGGCTTATTGCTACTGATGTATGTCAAAACTAGACAGTAAGACCCCATTCCTGGAGACAATGCATACACATGTGGTGACTGCAAGACATGGAGAAACTAAGCTGGACTGAACTGGAAATGGCTTTCACAGTGCCAGAGGAGCCATGTAGGTTGCTTGTGAACTGTCATCAACATTCCTATGGACCGTGTGTGCTAAAATACCAACATACCAGATTCGGTGAACCTGCTGTGCAATAGTGGCTTGGCTGTCATGCGGGAGAGCAACAGCCTCCTGGCTAAGGTCTGCTCCATGAGAGGGTGTTCATGGAGCACCGTAAAAGCTTTTGGCTGGGGAGGTCATAGGTGGTATTCATACTTTGGTCTGTCATGGGCAATCTATCTGGGGTGAATAGACAATTGTATTGCATCTTCCCAGGAAGTTTTGGCATATAACAAAGCTTTATATTAATTTATGTGCTATGTTCTAGAACTATCTAAGTCATATATGAGTAACTTTAATGAAATGTATACATGTTACACCCACATGGAAGTTCTTTCAAGAACTTTATTCTTTGCAATATATATAAAAATAAATAAAATAGTCCAGCTTCTGGAAGTGTCACAAATACAAGAAGAAGGTACTGCTATCACCATTCTAAATAACTGGAATAAATTAGTTTGCTGTTCCTCCATCTTCTAATTGTAAGGGCAAAGTGTAAATCAGACTGAAATTAAGTTGGACTGCAACATCACTGTCAGGGTAGACACACGGAAGCCATTCTAGAGGGTGCTGTGGGTGGGACATCTATTGCATTTTGCACTCGGGCCCATCTTTTCCTGAGGAGGGCTGATAAAGGTCTGTCTTAGGATTCACATTCTCTGCTTCCACAGCTGGTTCCTCTGACAAAGGAAATAAAAACAAGTTAACCCTATTCAAATACACACAGAAGCGAGCACAGGAAGCAGAGAGGACATTAAAGCAGGGAGGGTGACTGGCTCATGTGTTTGGTGAAGAAGTAGGTACACCTTCCCATCAGAGCTCTGTGCTCAACTGTTACAAGGTGAACTGTTAGGAAATAATACTCTGCATAAAACTAAGGAGCAATAAGGCTCAGGCAGAAATGGGGTGGAGAGATTCTAAGAGCCAAAGGACCAGAAGGTCTGCTGTGCGGCTATGCCTTTTAGCTGTGACAGGCTAGTTACAGCCATATTCACAGGCAACTAACTTGAGATTCAGTGTGACCCCAATAGGAACTAAGTTTGCTTTAAGCTTTCAAGAGAGAAGTATATTTAATGATAGTCTTACCTAGCTCGAAGCCTAAGGACCTAAATGGATGCATCTGCAATATGGCCACAGTGGCTAGACAGTGGCACTTTTATCTTGGGACTAATAACAGCTATCTAGTTGGATTTAAGGCCCGTTGAACAGAGGAGAAATCATTCCCGGTACTGTCAACCTAGACAGCTATTGATAGCTGGAGCGATGAGAGACCTAAGAGGAGAACCTACTACCACCACTTTCCCAAGCCAGTATCACCGAACTATATTCTAAACACTGACTCTTTACCCACAGGTAAAAGAAGGTCTCATCCTCATCAAAGAAACTTTTGCTTTTTTTTTTTTTTTTTTTTTTTTTTTTTTTACGCTAGAATGAGACAGTTACAGAAAGCTACAACTGATGAAAATGCAGAGAACTGACTATGGGTGCCCAGCCTCAGCTGACACATCTATAACAACTGCTACACCTGAGGCTCAGGCAGAAGCGGGTGGAGAGATCCTAAGAGCCAAAGGACCAGAAGGTCTGCTGTGAGGCTAGTTACACCCATGAAATCTTAACACAGCTCCCTAACCGAGGCATGAACAATTCCAACAACAGTAGCATTCCAAAGTAGACGGTGGGCAGGGGTCTCACAGGGTCCTATCCCTAGATGAAGAGCTACAAGCAAAAATGCCCAAACCTCTAACCCCCAAACCAAGTAGCACTCCTCAACAACAAAACAAGCAACAACAACCCTGTGTGCTGCCTGGAATAGTGGAAACCTCACTCCATCCATTCCACCATTAGCCCACGGTGGACACTACCTGTCCATCAGCAACCATCTCACAGGGTGATGGACCATCGTTCTATAGTAGAGTTTGCATGCAAGGGACTTTTATTTTACTTAATAGTCTATGAAGAACACTAGTGATGTTGGCAGTTTGAACATGCTAATGTAGAGGTATGAATTCCTTTAAGTGAAAGGGGAAGTTTAACTATAATCTGTATGCATAACAAACAAAAACCACAACACAACAGGATCTTATGCTACCTAGGATTTCAGAGCGCCCTAGGGGTCCTGGGATGAAGCTCTCACAGATGATGGTGGACTACAAGAATATGCATTACACAGAACATTTGTCTTTGACTCTGAGCTGAGTAGACTTGAGTGGGTGAGGTCAGATGTGGTGCTTTTGTAATTGTGACAATGACAGCAAGTGGCAAGGAACAGAGTGAGCTCTAAGCCTGGAAAACACCATGTAACTGTGAAGTAACCGAGACAACAGGAACATGAGTCCTGACTGCCGAGCTCCTGAGAGGCAGGAACTGACTCCCAAGCTCAGCAGATGAAGCCGGCACACAAGCCTGCTGAGCCAAACACATGGGTTCCATCTGTTCTCCCCAGTGATACCCAGCAACCTGTGCGTTTACTTACCTGGACACAGTCCTAAAGCAGAGTTATCAAAATAGCAAACTGGGTAAGGTGCAGGTAGAGACTTTGCCCGGTTATCAGAAAACAAAGATTTTGGTGAATCTTGAAAGTTCCGTTCCCTGCACTGAGAAGGTGTGTTCTGTCTCCTTTTAGAATCTGCCCCAGTCACTTTGGGAGACTTTGGAGAGTTCTCACAAGCTGATTCTCTGTAAGTGTCTCTTTTAAGGGTTCTTTCCTTCATTGTTTCAAGCTTCTTGGAGAGCTGAGATTTATCACTTAAATGGAAGCAGAAAGATCAGACAACTCAATTCTTAAATGTGGGCATGGAAACAATTTAAAAAGAACCCCATCCTACTAAAATATGTAACACGAGACTTAGAATTTTATTACATTTGCATTTTAATTTCACCCTAACACTTTTTGGACTACTTCATGGTTCAGAAGTGAGGAGGAGCTATATAAATTGAATAATTTATTATTATTATTATTATTATTATTATTATTATTATTATTATTGACAGGGTTTCTCTGTGTAGCTCTGGCTGTCTTGGAACTCACTCTGTAGACCAGGCTGGCCTAGAACTCACAGAGATCTACTTGCCTCTGCCTCCTGAGTGCTGGAATTAAAGATGTGTGTCACCACTGCCCAGCATAAAGCAAACAATTTTTGATTATGAGGTTTTTTGAATGAGTCCATCACATCCGCAGTTATAGAACATTTACCAAACCTTTACAGAAGTACGCATTTTCATCTGTCCTAACTTCACTGTCTGGGCTGTTTCTTCTCTGCCTCCCTGAATCTATCTATACATGGTCAGATTCTTCTTTCAAAATATAATTCTTTAGGTTACCACAGCCTGCTTTTTGTTTTGCAGGGACAGGGTTTCAGTAAGTTCTAATGGCCTTGACCTCATGGCTTTCCCATCTTTGCCTCCTGAGTTACAGCCATACAATCAATGTCTGGCCCTTCGTTTTCTATTAATGTTACTCTATGTAACAGATTATGTAGTTGTTAAATCATTTTGCCTGGGATATTTTATTCACTTACTCATTTCTGCAGAGCTGAGGAGTGGAGGCTAGGGCCTTGTGCATGCCAGGCAAGCATTCTGCCATTGAGCTATCCCGCTAGCCCTTTACACTACCTAATGTCTAATTTCTCCCACTGTACCATGAGTGGGGTGTGAGGCACAATAGTTCTACTATTTTATGGTAGGAGAAGCCGATAACCCAATGATGTAAGTTTGTCTGTGAGGAGGGTACACTATGGACTCGGGGTCCTCTGTGGGATGCAGCTCCACTGACTTCCTAGTCCTTGCCCTAGTTACAAATAGAACAGCTGGGAGGAAGGGTTAGTGGGTAAAGTCCTCACGCTTAATTCCTAGAATTGAGTTAAAAGGCTGGGTGCACAGTACACGCCTGTACCCAGTGCTGGGGAGGTGGAGGCACAAAACTCTCTGGGGTTTGCTGAATCAGTGAGAGACCTGGTCTCAAAACACACTGGAGAAGTGCCCGTGGAAGACACTCACGCTGACCTGACCCCACACGTCCCAGTGTGTGCAGCTAATGAATAGCAAACGTGAAGCGGAGCCATTTTATTCATCTCTTGACAGGGTTTCTCTGCATAATCCTGGCTGTCCTGGAACTCACTGTGCAGACCAGGCTGACCTCAAACTCAGAGATCCGCCTGCCCTGACTCCTGAGTGCTGGGATTAAAGGCGTGTGCCACCACTGCCTGGCTATTCACATTTCTTCTTTTAAAATAAACATTTATTACACAATCTCTAAAAATTGCTTTCCCCCAAGTTAGTGAAAGGTTACAACTGCAGAAAATATATGCAAATAATTCCAACATTTGCAGCCATAAACAGGATATGTCATGACAACAAAACTTGCCCTTTTCATTTGTTTGGCTTCTTTTTTGTTTGTTCTTGTGTTTTTTGAGACAGGCTCTCTCTCTTACGTAGCCCTGGCTGTCCAGAAACTCACTATGTAGACTGGACTGGCCTCGAATTCACAGAGATCTGCCTGCCTCTGCCTCCAGAGGGCTAGAATTAAAGGTATGTGCCACCACATCTGGGCTTAGAACTTACCTTAATAGTCGATTATTTTGCTTTACAAGCTGTTCATTTTGCTGCTTTAATTTAGAAATTTCATTTTCCATCCTTATATATTCACTTTTCAGAATAAGGGCTTTTGTGCTTTGTACAATGCCACTGCCACCTCCACAGGTTAAAGGTTTCCTCAAAGTCTGAGAGTCGGGCTCTGACACCACTGCAAGAGGCAAACATACACACAGGTCGGCACTCTCTCTTTTGTAAGCAAAACAAAAAACAGCAGGATGGCTCTGTGTCACCCAGGCTGGCTCTGAACTGGTATTGATCTTCCTGTGTCAACCTCCCAAGTGAGTGCTGGAATTATGTAGGCACTGTGCCACCATGTCCAGCAAGGCAGATAATCTTAATTAGCTCTGATGTTCAAAAAAGAAATATTAAAAACTGTAACAGGCTGCTATAGAAACCATTTCCTGGAAGTCATCTTTGATTTTGTGTTTCTCCCTCATCTCTCCTACTTGACTATCAGTCTTCATTTCCCTACAATCTGCCTCCACTAATTACCATATCTTTTACCCCAAGTGTAGCAACAGCAATCTTTTATAATCAGAGCCATTCTGAGTCGGTCCATGCTCTAATCACCTGTGGAGCTCGTCACCTGCTACTGCACTGCAGGCCATGCAGAGACTGCCCCAAAGTCACTCAGCACATTGCAAGGACTCAACATACATTTCTTAACTAAATACACCCCCAGATGAGAGTAAAATTGTCAGCACTGTGAACAAAACTGTATAAAAACAGAGATGTTATTTATCTGAATAATCCATTAGTTCACCAGCAGCTCACTATAGAGACAAAGAGGACAGAGAGGGTTTGTGAGGAGATCAGTGATGTACATTCTTATCATTCAGGTATAAAACGGGCAGACATCTCTGAATTCAGAACTGCTCCAGCATCCCTGTGGACTAACCATGAGCATAGCATCTTATTAGATGCAGAAAAGCCCTTGACAAAATCCAACCTCCCTTCACGATAAAAGTTCCGGAGAGACTAGAGTAGGATCCTCAAAATAATAAAGAAAGCCTACAACATCACCACAGCCGTAGTCTTGATAAATAAAAGAAAAACTCCAGGGATTGTTGCAGAAATCAGGAATAAGACAAGGATGTCCATTCTCCCCATTCCTGTTCAATACCGTGTTCCAGGTCTTATTCAGAGGAATAGGACAACTGAAGGAGATCAAGGGGATATAAGTAGAAAAGGAAAAAGTCCAAGTACCCTTATTTGTAGATGACATGATTTATATATAAAAGACCCTAAAGACTGTACTAGGCATCTTCTGCAGCTGACAAATACTTCCAGCAAAATAGCAGAATATAAAATCAACATATAAAAATCAGTATATTTCCTAAAAACAAAAAATCTTGGAATAACTCTAACCAAACAAGTGAAAGACTTGTATAATGAAAACTTTAAGACATTAAGAAAAGAAATTGAGATGACGTTAGAAGATGGAAAGATGCTTATGGACCAGTAGGATTAATACTGTAAAAGGCCATCCTACCAAAAGCAATCTACAGATTCAAGGCAATCTCCATCAAGATTCCAACACAATTCTTCATAGAAATTGACAAAATAATCTTAAACATAATATGGAAACACAACCCCCCCCCCAAGATAGCTATACCAATCCTGAATGAAAGTGGAAATAAATCCCGATCTGTTACCCTGCACAATACTCATATCAAATGGATCAAAGGACCTCAACACAAGGCCAGATACCCTGAATTCGACAGAAGAGAAAGCAAGGAATAGGTCTGCACTAGAAAAGACTGTCTGAACAGGACCCTGATAGCAGAAGCATTAAGACAACAATTAATGATTGAGACCTTATAAAGCTAAAAATCAGTGTACAGCAAAGGACATCATCATTCTGCTAGAATGGCAGCTTATGACTGGAAAACACATCTTTACCAGTTATATATATATATAACAGAAAGTTAGTATCCAGAATATAAAGAGCTAAAACAAAACAAAACAAAACCCCAAAAAACAAAATACCCCTCAACATCAAGAAAAGAAATAACGCAATCAAAAAATGGGGTACAGAACTAAACAGAGTTCTCAAAAGATGAAACAAAAAAGACCAAGAAACCCTTAGGAGCAGTGGCTCTCAATCTTTCTAATGCTGCAACTCCTTTAATACAGTTCCTCATGTTATACTGACTCCCAACCACAAAATTATTTCATCACCACCTGATAACTGTAATTGTGTTACAGTTTAGAATTGCAATTTAATTATCTGATATGCAGGATATCTAATATGTGACCCACAGGTGGAAAAACACCAACTTAAAGAAATACTCAAATTCTTAGCTATCAGGGAAATACAAATTAAAACTACTTTGAGATTCCATCTTGTACTAGTCAGAATGGCCGAGATTAATAAAACGAGTGACAGGACATGCTGGTGAGGATATGCAGGCAGGGGACACTTGCTCATTGCTGATGAGAGTGCAAACTGGCACAGCCACTATGGAACCCAGTGTGGAGAGTCCTCAAAAGATTAAAATAGATCTACCACAAGACTTAGCTATCCCGCTTTTGGGCATATACCCAAAGTACACTACATCTTACTACAGAGGTACTTGCTCATTTTCATGTTCACTGCTGTTCTACTCATAGTAGCCAGAAATTGAAAACAACATGGTACATTTACACAATGGAGTGTTATTATTCAGGTGTTAAGAAAAATTAAATCATGAAAATTTCAGGCAAGTGGATGGAACTCTGAAAGACAAACTCATGTTTGTAGCTTTTAGGCTTCAGCTGTGTGTGCTTCGTTCAGAACTGCAGAGCTTAGACAGCTAATAAGGAAGTAGAGGGAAAAGGGGGATCTTCAAGGAAGGGGAAACAGAATATAGTGCTAGAAAGGGAGACCAGGGAAATTAGAGTAGGAAGGAACTGGGATTTAAGGCCTGCTCCATGAGATGGAACCCACACCTAACAATTAATGAGACCAAGAACCTGAGACTAGATAGGTCATGAGACCTATAGGACACAGTGATAAAATGAACCCTAAAGACACATTACTACACCCGTAGAATCAGTGTCTTGCTAAACCCTCATAGGAGAAGCTGCCTCTTGTAGTAGATGGTAAATTAGAACAGAGACCTAGAGTTGGACAATGTCAGATGATGCGAGACTTTTGGGCAGTCAGCCCCTAATGGTATGTCTACATCATATCCCACTCCTCCAGCTCAGAATCTATTGTAGAAAGATTGTAAGAGCCAGAGGTAGTGAAGACGCCAAGGAAACTGTTTTAGAGGATATAACAGGGCTGGCACACCTATGAACTCACAGAGATTGCAATGATGCACAGAAGATCTGTACAAATGAAGGCAGATAAAATGCCAGTATGGAGAAGCAGAAGTGGGCACAATGCCCCTTCCTAGTCAAGAAGCTATTTGCAAGTGATAGTTGCTGCATGAGGGAAAATCACTTTTCTTCAATGGAGTGAACTCCATTGAAGTTGACCAAAACAAAACAGCTTTTTGTCTTGTTTCCTTTTCTTTTCCTTCCTTTTTAAAAATTTAAATTAGAAACAAGCTTGTTTTACATGTCAATCCTGGTTCCCTCTCCTTCCCCTCCTTCCCTGCCCCCCACCAACCCTCTATCGCATCCCCTTTCTGCTCCCCAGGGAGGATAAGCCTTCCATGGGGGATCTTCAAAGTCTGTCACATCATCTGGAGCAGTGTGTCTAGGCTGATAAAGTATCCCTCTATGTGGAATGGGATCCCAAAATCCATTCGTATACTAGGGATAAATACCGATCCACTACCAGAGGCCCCATAGATTGCCCAGGCCTCCTAACTGACATCTTGTCTTGTGTTTCTTAAGAGAAAGAAAGAACAAAGTTGGGTGTGTGCTGGTGAAGGGTATTTGGGAGGGTAGAGAATATGATCAAAATATATTGTTTGAAAATCTGAAAAAAAAAGGGAGGGGGGAACATATCAAAATACTTTAAGGCTATGCACATAATGTACATGTGAAGGTAAATCAATTTTATGTTTAAATTTGGGTCAAACTGATAGGGGAGGTCCTTCTGTGTATATGTTTGTCTTATTGGTTGATAAATAAAGCACTGTTGGCCAATAGGGAAGCACGTTAGGCGGGACTAGGAGTTGAGGAGAATTCTGGGAAATGTAGTAAAGAGAAGTCTTGTGATCTAGGCAGGAAGTGACATAGCAGGCAGACTCAGCGTCCTCAATAAGATAAGGCTTTATAAAATATATAGATTAGTAGTTATGGTTGATAATTAAGACTGAGCTAGCAAGTAAGAAATCCTAGTCATTGGCCAGCAGCATTGTAACTAATATTAATCTCTGTGTGTTATTTTGGGCGCCCACGTGGCGGCAGGGCTCAGGTGGCTTGTAGGAAAGATTTATCCTTACATCAAACCACTAAAATATCTCACTTTGCATATGCAAATATTTCAAAATCTTAAACAGTTCAAAATCCCAGACACTTGTTTCCAAGAATTATGAATTATGAATATCCAGCTTGTATATACTTATTATTATCTTGGTCCTTCTGTAACAAAGGAGCTGTACTTCTTCTATTTTATCCCTTGAAGTTCTGCAGTCAGGAACCAAGAAGATTACAATAGACACTTAGGAAGTGTCAAGCCACACTGGATACCAGACAACATATTTAACATATTATTTTCATTTTCTTATTAAAAAATTAAAATACAATCACATCACTTCCTTCCTTGCCTTTTTTCCCTTCAGCCCCTGCCATACCCTCACTCTTCCCTCTCAAATTGATGGCCTCTTCTTCTTTGTTATTGTTACACATCTATTCCACCTACTGAGTCTGTTTAGTGTCGCTTGTGTGCACAATTCCAGGGCTGACTACTTTGTACTGGGTGACAAATTATCATCCCTCAGAGAGGTTAATTCTCCACTTTCCACTTTCTTTTGAATATAACATATCTAATGTTGGGCATTCAGAATTCTCACAGTGCTTCTCCACACCTGCTGGTTTGATGTGCAGGGGTGTCAAGGTCAGGGTAGCTCACATGGTCACTGAGGGAGTCAGTCCAAAGATTTTCCCCAAATTTTTAGTTAATGCTTGTTCTAGAATAATATAGCTGCACCAGTACTAAGTCAGCATTCTTTCTCTAACAGAGCACATGGCAGACATAAGAAAAAAGCTTCTGCAAGGAGTATACAGGAAGAAATTTGACCTTTCAACCTAAAAACTATGTCTGTGATAAATTTCAATTTTCATGTAATTATCAATATATTATCAATTTTATGAGCAGACAGGCTAATACCTTGTCACTGTTAATATGTAGCCATTGTAATTTCTTAGCTGTATACATATAGCTAAAACCTACTTGGATGTGTTTGGTTTGTGCTGAGAAGTAGCTTTACCCTTGATAGTTAAGCCATTCTTCTACAGTAGTCAATCTTCAGTAATTCATGAAGATCCAATTATATAAAAGTAAAACTCATTTTTAAAGAGTCTACAATGGATAAGCTGTTGGTACTGTAATATTCTAAGTAAAGGGCCTAAGATTAACACAGTAACATGGTAACAGTGGACTAACGGAGGGTTAGTATTGAATGTCATGTGAACAACAGGAGTCTTAAGCCTACATGTGCTTTGAGGAGTTAAGTGTATTCTGGCCAAAGAATCAACTAAGCAGGGTTCATAGGGGCTCAGAGACTGAAATAGCAATCACGGAGCCTGCATGGGTCTGCAATAGGTCTCTATATATGTTATGGTTGTTAGTTTGGTGTTTTTTTTTTTTTTTTTTTTTTTAAACTTATACAATATATACAATAGTGTTGTTAACTACAGCTCTCATAATTTCAATAAGGTTTTTAGACTTATTCATAGTACATAACTGTAACCTTGTACTTTTTGGCCTAGTTTCCCCATTTCATGTCTCTGGTAGTTGTAATTCTATTTTCTATTTCTGTGTACTTAATTCTTATTGCACATATAAGCAAGACTTACAATGTTTTTCTGTGTCTAGTTTAGGGAATTACTGAAGATTGACCACTGTAGAAGAATGGCTTAACTATCAAGGGTAAAGCTACTTCTCAGCACAAACCAAACACATCCAAGTAGGTTTTAGCTATATGTATACAGCTAAGAAATTACAATTTGGTATGATGCCCTTCAGTTTTTTTTTTTTAATTATTTATTTTACATCCTGATTACAGTTTTCCCCTCCCTCTTTCTTCCCATTCCCTCCCTCCACTTTCCCTCTAGCCCTCCAACCCTTCTTCAATCCACTCCTGCTTCTTTTCAGAAAGGGACAGGCTTCCTGTGGCTATCAACAAAGCGTGGCATATCAAGGGGAGATAAGACTAAGCACCCCTCCTTGTATTAAGGCTGGACAAGGCAATCCAGGATGAGGAATAGGTCCTGAAGAACCAGCCAAAGCATTAGGAGCAGGCCTGCTCCCATTGTTAGGAGTCCCACAAATAGACCATAGCATGGTGTTTTTGTGGAACTCCTAAAAGTGGGAGTGTCTCTGACTCTTTCTCTGCTTTTGGGACTCTTTTCCTCCTACTGGATTGCCTCGGCCAGCTCTAATATGAGGGTTTGTACATAGACAATATTATTGTATCTTGTTATGCCATATTTAGATGATATCCCTTAGAGGCCTTCTCTTTTCTGAATGGAGACAGAGGAAGAATGGATCTGGGGGAGAGGAGTGGTGGTGGTGGTGGTGGTGGTGGTGATGGTGGTGATGGTGGTGAAGAACTCGGAGGGGTGGATAGAGGGGAAACTGCAGTTGGATGTATTGTATGAAAGGGAAAAAAAAATCTGTGTTCTTAACTTACTTGAGGTATCCTGGGCCTGTTGATTTCTTCTAAGATTTTCTCTCAGCATCCTTATCACTTCTTTTTGATGTGTAACAGTGGCTTTTGTAGAAAGAATTCTAACAAGAATAAAATAATAAAACATGTAAATGTCCAAGTGATTCTATATGGAAGAGTAAACAGAACTGCTGCACACTGACATGACACCCCTGTGCTGTAGCAGATCAGCCCCTGCAATGTAGCTCAGCTCTCACGGCTACAGCCAAATGCAACTATTCTGTTCAGCTGTAGGAACAGTCCAGCTTTATTACCGAGAAACTAACTCATTTAAAACTTCTAGAAACATAATAGGCATTAGTTATATACTGAACAAAATTATTTTTGGAGACACTATTCCCACAGGATGAAATGAATAGAAAATCGCCAGAGAATGAAAAGGAACAGAACAACAGAACCAAAACGGAACCCCAATTTTCATCCTGTCAGGTAAGCAAACCCTCATGCAATTCTGATTAAGGGCATGAGTCAAAGGTCAAGTTGGGCACTACTCCCAGAGGAAAGAGATACTTTACCAACTGTCAGTTAATAACTCAAGCGTTAAGCAGAAAGGATGAGGTATAAGCCTGTCTAACAATTATACAGTTCTTGGGCAGGAGAGAAGGCTCAGTGGTTAAGAGAACTGGCTGTTCTTCCAGAGGTCCAATTCCCAGCAACCACATGGTGGCTCACAACTATCTATGAGATCTGGTGCCCTCTTCTGGCATGCAACTACCATACATGCAGGCAGAACACTGTATGCATAACAAATGAATAAATCTTTAAAAAAAATTATACTGTTAACTATTTTTTTTTAAGTTACGGCATAGGCCTTCAGTCATGCTGCACAGGTGGGTCTCTGAGTTTGAGGTCAGCCTGGTCTACAAAGTGAATTCTAGGACAGCCAGGGCTACACAGAGAAACCCTGTCTCAAAAAGCCAAATATATGCTGACTGCATTTTATAGGTAAAGCTGCCCTTTCTAATTAAGAACACAATATTGGTTTCATTGAAACCATAGGCTCTTAACATTGGAAAGCTGGTTACACAGCTTGAAGACTCATGGGGTGCTACTTTCTGGGCAGAGTTAAATGTCATTCATGATGAGGAAGAAAGCCCAAAGAGCTAGATTACATCTTGGGACATTATATATAATGCCATTATTATATGAGTACATATAATCTCTCATATAAGCCTTCCTTTTATTCAAATGCAAGGACTGGATGAGCTCAACAGTTTAAGATGTTAGGTAGACTTTGAATTCGGTTGCTCTGACTGTTCAATGTTCTTTCCATTATGCTCTATACAGAAATAACTTTTGGTATGCTATTATGCGTAATAGAGCACACAGGTAAGTTGGTAAGAAGAGGACATGCTGCTGGGTCCCTTGTACCAACAGAAAACAATCTTTACACAAAAATACAATAGGGAGAAGAAAGGGAAACCCCAGTCAAACACCTGAGGACACACAGAAAAGCAAAGGCCCCCAGTGCTCAGTCTGAAGGATGACCAGTTTTTATTCAGACATCACTGAGGAATAACCATCAAAGACACTGCTGACTGATGAGACCCACGCGTATCTTTTTCAGTATTGGGGATTGAAACCAGGGCCTTGGGCATGGCAGGCAAGCACCTTCCCACTAGCCCTACACCACAGCCAGAACCGAGCTTAGCTTTTAACCATTTGTATATGCAATCACAATCTAATGAGCTTAAAAGCTATGGGTGCCTACAGATTTTTTTTTTTTTAAAGTAAAGACATATTTTTACAAATTACTTTCTAAAAAGTAAACAAATGCAAAGATATTTGTGAAGTTTATAAAGAAATGTTATGTGACTAAAGCCATCTTTAACAAGGGCAGAGACAGACATACTCCTTTTCGAATTCCTTGGCATTTTCCTTCTTTTCTAGGTCAATTTTCACCAGCTGCATTTTGAGATCCTCAATTTCTTCTTTATAGGGCACAGCTCCTAACGCCACTTTGTCCTGTCACAGAAAACAGTCCAGAAAAACAAAAGAAGATCCATGGGCACATTCTGATTTGTCTATACAATGTTATTGCACTATTAAGAAGTAACAAGAGGGCTAAGGATGAAGTTTGCAGTGTGCTTTCCTGACTTGCTGGAAGCCCTGGTTCCATCCCTAGCATTTCATAAGGTAGGCTCAGTGACACAAGCCTCTAATGCCTTTACTTCTTTATGGGTGTACACACACATGTGCCATGGCTTGCAGGTGAAGGACAGGCGACAACTGGCAAAGTCAGCTCTCTTCCTCCACCATGTGGATTCTGGGAATCAGACTCAGGCTTGGTGGCAAGTATCCTTAGCCACTGAACCATTTTGTGGGCTCTTGCTCAGTTAATAAATGCTGTATGATTCTAGATGGCTTCATGCATAGGGTAAAATTAATACCCTTGGGAATAAACTTTTGGAATCTACATATTTAAAAGTAGGATTCAGTGAACCAATTCTAAAAAGTCAAACTATGAAAAGAGTTTCTGGATCTCTCTTCAGGATGGAACAAAGCCATAGTCCTAGTATATCACCCAGGCTAATTGTGCTGCCCTGCAGTATCCCTGATGCTTGAGGCAGTCTACACTGCCTCAATTCTTTTTTTCCAGCATAATAAAAATAATCAGTATTTTACATGCAAATATACCACAGCATTTCATCTCATCACTTCCTTTACAAGTCTGTGAAATGAACTTGAGCCCTTACATAGATATTGTGATAAGGCTGTGGTTAAGAGGGAAGAAAAGAGCATCCCTTAATTTGCTAAATCCAACAGGTTACACAACGTTTTTATTTCTGAGATTGGTCTACCATACCTGAAGCTTTTGTACTGTTGCCTTTGTGTTTTCAAGGCATTTGTTTGATTCATGGACTTCACTCTGGAGCTTTGCTACCAAGTCCTTAGACATTGCTAGTTCCTTCTGCATCTTTGCAATCTGGCCTTCCTTATGCATGGCACTTTTTTTGGCTTCTTGTAAGGAGGTTTCTAGCTCCTGAATTTTCTGTTAGAGCAAGCACAAATCCTTAGGGCAAATCCATAGTATGTTCAATGAGATAAAAATGACCACCTGTAGTTAGTTATTGAGTGTTCACAGATTCAATCAACAAATGAGAGGTTAAATACTGTTACATCTATCTAAATACAAGTCCTTTTACTTAGAAAAATGACATTTTATGTGTTAAAGAATGCCAAAATTTCACATTATAGCCTGACAGCAAATTCTCTAAGTCAGGCAAATGAGAACACAGCCGTTACATGACACATCATTTAGCAAAGCTCTATGTACATTTAGTAGTCAGTCACCTTCGAAATTAGCACTATTCATAAAAGGGCACTTGGACTTCCTAAAGCAATTTAAAGATGAAAATATATGAAAAAAACCCTTAAAACCATAAATGAAAATAAAGACTTCCCAGATCCTAACAAGGTCTACGAAACCTTTTTGAGTATCTCCTCACCTCCAGAAAATTTCTGAGCAAGAATAAGGAGGTATAAAATTTATAAAAGTGGCCAACCATATGCAATAAACATATAGTTATACTTGAGAGACCCCTCCCTCCCCCCAAAATTTGTGTTCTTCTAGTTCCTAATGGCAATTTTCAAGCTAATGGTTGATGTTTTATATTAAGTATTTATTTTGGTAAAAATTATAAATTATAGTTGGCTTTTGGTTTCCCATTAAGACATTTTGCATACTAGCAAAATACAGTAGCTACTTCCTGTTGTTATAGATTCCCAAGCATAGGCAGTTAATAGTCTAGCTGTGTTGTTCAAATGATACTGATTTTTGTTTGTTTGTTTGTTTGTTTCTCTGTGTAGCTTTGGAGCCTATCCTGGCACTCACTCTGTAGACCAGGCTGGCCTCAAACTCTCAGAGATCCGCCTGCCTCTGCCTCCCGAGTGCTGGGATTACAGGTGTGCGCCACCAATGCCCGGCTGATATTGATGCTTACACATTTTTTTTTTTTTTTTTTTAATGGAGGAGAGCTCGAACCTGCATTTCAATTTGCCTAACAATTCTGCTATTTTTTAAGCCTCTTAGCTTTTTATGATATTAGTCAGTATTCAAGAGAATAGCTAAAGATAAGTTAAATTGCTACTATTCTCTAAATTAACTTGTTTTCCATGCACGTTACAGTTTAGATGAAATTCATACCTTTTAGGAAACTTATGGCATAGTGTAAAAATACCAAACATGGCAATGAACTATCCTGAATATAGTATTTAAACCGTCACTTACTTCTGTTTCTTAACTCAAAGGAAATGATATCAAGTTTCAGGATTAATTGAATGGTAACTACAGTACGACCATATACAAAAATCCAACTCATCACACACACATGTATTCATATTTAGTGACTATATCAAAGCTCTAAACTCCAGGAAGTTTCATACCTCTGATGTTAGTTGTTCACCTACTGACGCAATGTGAGGATTTTTACTGCCCTGTGTAGAAGGCTGTGTGGTGGTATGAACATGGGCAGCAGATCGGGAGACAGTCAAAGTCTCGTAGTCTTTAGATAGTTGTTTAGTTTTTTCCTTCAGTGATTTCAGATAATGTTCCAACTCTTTACATTTGGCAGCATTTCCTTCCTCAAACTCTGTTGATTCATTTATCATGGCCTGTGGACAGTAAGAGACCACTACAGCTTTAAAATAATTGATGCATTAAAGGTTACAGTAAGAAAACCAGTAGATTCTAGGACTGTGTGCATGCTGAAATTCATTAGTTAGGATGTCTAAGAACAGTGCTTAAGACAATGAATGCACATTTCTCTTTCAACATGTTGGAAGTTAATCATGATGTATCTAGAAAAAGGGCACTGGGACCAAGGCTCAACCCTCACAAGCACTGAGAGGAGGATGGGAAGAGAACAATTCCAGGTGGGAACTCGGTATCACATGCAAGCAGCCTGCTCTCTTCTCAACTACAAACTGGTCTAATTACTGTGAAGCAGCGTAATACAAGAAAAGAAAAAAAATTATATAATCAAAATTTTCATAGAACCCCTATGTATAAATTAAAGAAAATATAAAACAGTCTAATCCTTTTATGAATGAGTAGAACAATAAAAGCAAAGAATAAAAGAGCCTGAGTGACGAACAATTATACTCACAATTATTTTGCTATTATAGAAGTTATTCACTTGGCAAATGCTATTATTTTCTCTTTGGATGCCACTTTTAAGCTTTTCTGTATCAAAAGGAGTATTCATCCATCTCCCCAAAAACTGAGTAATTTCTTTCCTATTACTTAGTACTTGTTGGAATTCAGTTTTTATGGTGGGGAATCCATTTTCTGCAAAATCTTTGGCAATTTCCTGTGTGAAAAATAGGTATCAAATTATATGAACATCAGGAAAGATTTCATCCAAATAACATATAAACTAAAAATATCATAAAGGGAGAAACACCTACTATACTCTACTTATTAGGACACTAAAGTAAATGAGTTCTAATTTAAAACTTCATTCCAATTACTTTCATAGGAGAATGTTGGTAATATATTCTACATGACAGAGGTAGTCTACCTATAGGTTCTGGTGGCTGCTTTTCTATGTACATGGCAGGCCTCACAAGTTTGCTGGGAACTGCAGCCAGCTTTACACCGTTGGGAGAACAAGAAACTCCTTGTGGAGTTGATACAGGGAAAGAATTCCGACTTTTAGTCACGGGTGCAAGAAGGCGCTGGGAAACCCCAAATTTTCTGAATTCTCACTGATGTCCAATCTGTTTTCTGTGTCTATGCAGGTCTGATAGTGTCCAAATGGTCCTTTAGTCAGCTCTCATTCTGTGAGTTATTAGTAATTTCTGATAAATGAAAATGACTTCAAACACATACAAAGGTATCTATTTATAAAAGGCTTAAGATCATATTAAAGGCATTGAAAATACGGTATATACCTCAATATGGAGATCCATATCCTGGCTAAGTTTGAGGTTCTCTAAGTCTTTGGATGGAATATCATAAACTTGTTGAAAGCTCTGTATCTTAATCCTCAGTTCATTCTGCTTTTCCACTTCCTGGACAAAAGCCATTTCAAACTTATTGATGAACTCATGTTGCTCTTCCTTTAGCCTTGTAATGTGGCTCAACACATACTTGAAGAAAAAGATAAATTGAAAATTGAGACATTGTATTTAGGGGACATTTTCAGTGTCTGAGATGGGGAGGTATCTTGTTTACTATTTATACTATGATAGATAATGAAGAAGGAAGCAGCTATTGTTTATCCCCAAATTTCTCTTCTGAGCCCCTTGGGAAGTAACCCTTCCAGATTGCTGCTTCCATGTTTGACTTACTACAGGATATCTCATTGCATGGTTTTAAAATGTCACATGACCCTTTCTATATGCTCTCTTTTTCTTGTTATCTCATTAGATTTTTAATTAATTATTTTATGTGTGTGAATAAACACATATGTCTGGTGGACACCACGGATCCCCTAGAACTGGAGCCCCAGATGGCTGTGAGTCACAATGTGGTGCTGAGAGCCAACTCTGAATCCCCAGGAAGGGCAGCTAGGGGTCTAGCCACTGAGACATTTCTCTAGCCTTATTACACAATTTTTGGTTAAACTGCCAATCCCCTACTGTCAGAATTTGAGATTAAAAGAAATACTTCATTTTATATAAAATTAGATGCACACATGTGGGTATGTGCATATGAGTTTAGGTGTCCATGGGCCCCAGAAGAGCTTCAGAACCCCTAGAGCCAGAGTTACAGGTAGTGTGAGCTGCTTTGGCCTGGTGTTAAGAGCTGAGTGGGTTCTGTGTAGAAACAGTACATGCTCTAAACTGCTGAGCTTCTCTCTATCCCTGGATTTGGATTTTCAAAATACTCTACTAAAATCTTGTCTGATTACCCCCACCTGCAGTCACATGCTTCAGGATTTCTTTGTCAAGCATATTTAGATGTCTGACTTTAAGGTAATGATAATTTTAATGCTATAATGTTCCCCAACCGCATACATTTTGGGTATCTGACTGTCAAATGTATTAGAGGATTATCAACTAAAGAAACGCTATAAGCCCTGGACAATTTCAAGATTCATAAGGAGCGAAGATTTCCCAGGGTTTTGCTGGAGGAGACGACTCTGGCCAGCCAAGTTGCTGAGGGAGAGCTGCACCCATGTTGCGTAGGAGGCCTCTGAGATACAGCTTTCCCAAATGGGGTAGGCTTTTAGCCAATGCAGCTGTTTTGAGTCATCCCCGAGTAGCTCCTCATAAACTCATGGGTTCACTAAGTTGGACTTGCGTGCAATTGTTATTTTGGTCTGTCATGGATTCCCTATTTGGGATGAATAGACATGTGTTACATACCCCTAGGAAAAATCTGTCACACAACAAGCCTGTCCGTACCTCTATAATTGCACTTGTTACTGGTCACAAGCCTGCCTTAGCAGATCTTTGGGATCTGACTCATGTGGACTCTGAGTTTACTTGCATGGTGTCTAGGCCTATAGCAGAGCTCAGGTCTTTTTTGAATGATTCCTATCTTCAGACCCATACAATCTTTAATTTGGTGGTTAATATATAAATAGTATATATGATAACTCCCAAAGGACTTAAATACATTGAAATTATAATCATATCATTATAAGGCCAATACTAATAAAAAGTTGGTACCTTAAGCTTCTTCAGAATTCTGTGGAATTCCATGGAACATCTGTGGTTTGTAGTAAGAAGCTTTTCAATCTCTTTGGTTTGTGGGTGTGGAAGTGAGAGCTTTGCTTTTATAGCAAGTGCCAGCTCTTTTTGGGTTTTAGTTTCCTTCTCCCAGTCAATAGAGAATGAATTCAAGCACTCATACTCATTACCCATTTCTGAGTATCTTTTCAGGAGTTCCTAAAAAAGAAATTAAGACCTTTGTGTTTAAAAGACATAATTAGTTATTTCTAGATTATAGAAGCAATGTATAATATTGTGAAATTAACCAGAGGAAAATACAGTAAGAAAACCAACTTTTCCTCCGGTCTTTTGAATAACTTTACTGTGCACTATACACAAGACTGAGAGCTGGCTCGTTTATAAAAGCAGTGAGAGTATGGAGACAAATTAATGACCATGACTCAGACTGGCCCTCCATGTCGAGGTGAAGTCACTCCACACATTTCTATACATCTGCTAATACTGTTTTTGACTTCTGCCTCTCTGTTATCTTGTCTACATGACTAAATTCTCTCTCACTGGGAGGTGGTGGTGCATGCCTTTAATTCCAGCAGTAAGGAGGCAGAGACAGGTGGATCACTGTGAGTTTGAGGCCAGCCTGGTCAACACAGCCAGTTCCAGGACATTCAGGACTATACACAGAAACCCTGTGCTGAGCGAACAAAAAGAAAGGCTCTCTGCTTATACCCAACTCTCAATGCTCAGGTCTTCCCTCTTCAGCTGTAGGTGAGACTGTGCTTCCCATGGCAGAACTCTCCCATGGACCTCTTCCTACGCAGAGCAAACCCCCCTCCTCCATTAGCTCCACTTTACTTCTCACTACCTTTGTCTCTGAAAGTCCTTGAGCATGAGGCAGCTTTCCTTAGCACCAGGAGCTCTGTGCTTATGGTTCCCCATCTACAGTACTCTTCCCCTAGAGTGCATCGAGCCCCTTGCTGCTTTTAGAGATTTGCTCAGGATCACTTCCCACAGGCCTTAAAAACAAGTCACAAACTCCCACTGTGTCTATGTACATGTCTGTGCACGTGTATACACATGCATAACTGTACTAGACTATAAGGCCTAGGGAAACATTTGGCATGATCTAGTCTCTATTCACAGTTTCCTTTAATTCCACCTTAGGCTGGAACAGTAGTAACAATGCCACATAGCTCCTACAGGGGCTCTTACTTTTATCCTGAGGCACTTTTCTCGAAGGCTTTCTGTACTGTGTTGTTCTCCATCATATAGTAACCTCTTTGCATGTTTTACTATTTCTTCATGGTTTTGATGGTCCTGGTACAAAGAAATACATAGCAATAACCACATTCACATAGCATGTCTAATCAGACACGCTTACATCTTACATCATGTTTCAATAATGGAATGAAATATTTCATTATAATATAACAGCAGTATTAAAATAGGCAAAAAAGGAAGTAATAATTACTATCAAGCTACACAGTGAATTTGAATGACTTCAACTCACTGAAGGGATACGTGTGAGAAGACATGATATCTAGAAAAGGATTTGTTCCTCATTAGGTCTTAGATTCCTAGTTTGTAACCTCTCAGATGGCTACATTAGAATTACTGTCACCAACTAAATATACTAGGAAACCCAAGCCTAGTGTAGTTGTCCACCCGGGAGTGAATTTCATTCATGTTCTTTCTGCATCTGACTAAAAAGTACAGAACAGAACCTACCCTCCCTCATTAAACCACGTCATTAGTGTAACCTGGCCACTGTAATACCTAGAAGAATATCTACACAATACAGATTTGTCAAACAAATTAGGTTTGCTTGTAAATTTAGACAGGTCCCACATACACTGGACTCCCAAGTATTTAGCATGATAATATCGTACACGAGGCTTTCTACCTTACCCTTCAAACATGAACATAACAAGTTATAGATTTACCTTATATAACCATTTGCCTAAATTTTCTGCTTTTTAAAAGAGTGAATTAAACTTTGAAAGATTATTCTGAAACAAAGTCAAGAAAACTCCCTTAATCTCTACTTTGCTTTTCTCCTTCTAACTTCAGTAATGACAACACATTTATTTCTAGAAGTCTATTAGTAGAGGAAATGGAGGCACTTAATCTTTTGAAAATACAGTCTTTGAAATACTTTTCCATTTAAAATAATGCTAGTTTCTTTTTGTGGCTGTTGTTTCAGAAATTTAGAAGGAAAATACTGTGTCTAACACATCTGTTCTCAGAGACGAAGAATTCAATTTTCTGAAAAGCATTGAGGCTTTTATGCTTCCTTCTTGTACTGTAATTATGGTACGTTTCCCAATCACATTTTACTATCTACAGAAGTTTAAAAAAAAATCAGGAAGAAAAAACAAAAACTACAACACCCAAATCCAGACAACCCACACACAAGCTTCGGTCTTAGAACTACTCAGAGGAAGGTTCTGAACTCATGTTCATTCTCATGTGTCTTAAAGTTTCTCGGAATTGTTCTCTTTCCACTTTGAGAGACTCTTTTATCCTGGTTAGCTCACTATTTTCCTTGATTATAATTCTTACTGCTTCAAGGTTTTTGTTAACTTTCTCAATCAAGTGCAAGTTATTTTCACCCACACTTTGCACACAGGAATTCTGGGCCTCAAACTGCTTCAACTGCTCAATTTTCTCCATTTTTTTTTTTTTAAATAAACTTTACTGACATTGTCCTCTCTAAGAAGCTGAAGCTCCTTTTCTTGAGTCTTCAGATAATTATAAAATAGAACAGAATAAAGAATTTCTTCATGGAAGAGCAAGGTCAATTGTTGTGTATGTACATATATATATAAATGGAGATAAGGATCTGAAACACTGGAAATCAGTTTCAGATTTTAGTGTTTGCAGTCTGAAATCCTCCCAAATTCAAGTTTTTGAGTTTCACACCGGCACTCAAACCCTTTCTAAAACCAAGCATTTCTGAAACCAGACCAGGAATCCTTAGCCCATATTTATGTATTTCATTACCTTGTCTAAGTGACTAATTACTTTTAATATACTCAAAGAAAAATGTATGCTCAGTTAGAAATGAACTCTACAACATCCTTGAGGTACAAAAGGGCCAAAGGAGCCGGGGCTTTAATCCCAGCACTCAGGAGGCAGAGGCAAGGGATCTCTGTGAGTTCGAGGCCAGCCTGGTCTACAGAGTGAGTTCCAGGACAGCCAGAGCTATAAAGAGAGACCCTGTCTCAAAAAAAACAAAGAACAACAACAACAACAAAAAGAAAAAAAATGAGCCAAAGGACCCAGAGTACAACTCTGACTCTACCTTTCCCCTGGGCACTGCTCCCCACTGAATCCCTTGACTTGCTTTTCTCTATCACTATGTTTTAAGGTCAGCCTCAAATAAGCAATGTTGAGTCTTAGAATTCTGTCACACAGATGAGTCCCATTAGCCCACGAGTGCCCTGCTTATGTGTACATTTTTGTCACCACAAATAATTCTACACAGAACAATGGATTTTTGTGAAATCAGTGAATATGTTGTTTGGGTAAATTCCTAAACATGATAATGCTGAAGCAAACGTACTGTAAGTGCTGGTAAGTTTTCAAAGAGACATTGTTTGCCTGGAAAGATGGCTGCTCAAGTTATGAGCACTTGGCTGTCTTTTCAGTTCCAGGAGTTTCAACATTCTCTTCTAGCCATTGCAGGTACCAGACACACACACACACATGTGGGGTGGGAGAGTGTTCATCTATGGATCCTGCACTTTCAAGTAGAGTATCATTTCTAGACAGGAAGAAGGCACACAACTCACCTTCCACTTGGTGTCCCTTAGGTTTTCCTTGAGCTGGTCTCTCTCCAACTTGAGCATTTCCTCCACTCTCTTTAGATTATCTCTTTCTTTTATTACAGATTTCATTTCTTCAAGGTTTTCGTGAAGCTTCTGAGCCAGATTTAAATTCTCTATCTCTATCTTATTCAGAGCTAACCCTTGCTCCTTGAGTTGCTTTTGTGTCTCAACAGCAGCTCCTTTTAACTTAAGAAGCTGACCTTCATTTGCCTTAAGTTCTTGAATCTGCCAAAGCCACAAAATCACATTAGGATACAGACTCTTTAAAGAAAGCTTTATTTTTACTTTTTTACTTTTTTTATTTTATGGTTATGGGTGTTTCGCCTGACATGTATGTCTATGCATTATAACGTATGCTTGGTGCCCATGGAAGTCAGAAGAGGGTATTGGATCTCCTGGAACTGGAAGGAAAAGACAGTTGTGACCCACAGGTATGCTGTGGGAATCAAACCTGGGTCCTCCAGGAGAGGACTGCTTAGCCACGCCCCCAACTCTAGAAAGCTCAATTCACTTCATCATGTGAGTGAGGTGAGGTGCTTGTGAAGCTCAGAGGAACTGCTCCTCTGGAGCTGGAGGACCAGGCTGTGAGCCACCTGACACGGATGCTGGAAACTGAACTCAGGGCCTCTCGCCTGCTGAGCCATCTCTCCAGGCCAGGATATGGACTATTTTAAATGAAGAATAGTTTTTCTGGGAGTAGTCATGCTTACCAAGTACTCTCAAGGGGGGGTGAAAAGAACTGCTTTTAAATTGACTAACTTTCATGTTATTTCTATTAACGTTTTCTAAAGGCACCCGGCTTTCTTTTGAGGCATAAAACATATAAAGTATACTAATCTTAAATACAGAGTTTGGTGGGGTTTTTTTTTGCTCTTTTTTTTTTTTTTTTTGAGGGGGGAGGCATGATCTTTCTGTGTATCTTTGGCTGTCCTGGAACTCATAGAGCTCCTCCTGCCTCTGCCTCTTGAATGCTGGGATTAAAGGCGTATGACATCACTCCCTGGCTCAGTTATTCTTGATAAATGCATGCATCTATAAAACCATAACCCAGACCAAACTAGACAGCATTTCCAGCATCCAACATGTGTGTCTTTCCCTTAAGGTAAGTATTATTCTGACCTATAACATCCTGGATCAGTTTTGTTTCTTTTCGAACTTAAGATGACAATGTAGTCATCCACTCAGTTGCTGATATTTAGGCTGTTTTCATTTTCCCACACTATTCTGAATAAAACTGCTATGAGCATTCTTGTAGAATGTATAGAAGAATGATCCTTGTCTTTTTCAGTACACACCCAAGGAAAGGAAACGATAGGCCTTACAGTGAATAGTGCCAAATGTTTCCCAGTATGGCTGAACCTTTATATTCCCAAAGGCTATCAAGCATGAACAAATGAAATGCCCAATCAATACCTTTTCTTGTAATTTAATATTTGCATTTTCTAATTCCATTTCCATATTTGACACTTCAGCTGTCTTCTTTGACACAACCCCTCGGAGTCTGTCAATAGTTTCTTGGTGCTCTTTCAGATCCAGGTGAGCAATTCTTAGTTTCTCTTGTTTTTCCAGATCCTTTTAAAACAGGAACATATCTTAACATTAAGTAGTATTTTTTACAGGAAACAATGTCTTTACTTCTCTTTTGTTGTGAACTGGGAGTTGAACTCAAGACTGTGTACAAGCAAGCAGATGTTCTGTTTCTGAGTGAGACAGTCTGCTTTTATGTCTTTTAGAAACATTGACCTTAAATGACTACTATTATTCTATGTGGTGCTTCACATGAAGTCACTGGACAGTTCTGTGGTGTCTGTCCCTGGAGAATGAACTCAGATCACCATCAGGTCAGTGCTGCAAATCTTTCCTGGATAGAGAACCATGGGTGTGTGTGTGTGTGTGTGCTTTTACTTACTATTCTTTCTTGTTAGAAATCCACAGACCTTTTCTTTCCATTTCATTTCCCCACACTCCCTCCATCCACTTCAAGAGGCCAACATCACACATTTCACTTAACAAACCGTCCCCCTCTGAATGTCCTTCCAAGCTGCTGGGCAGGACAGAGACCAGTATTCACACAATTTGGCATACTGCTTCTATTTACCAGCTTCTTGCTAAGACACATGGTTGTTTCCCATTTTTATCACAAACTGCTATAACCAAGCAACTTTGGTATCTATTTGTATATATGTTTATGTATACTCATTTGCATATACATTTTTTAAACAAATGAACCAGTATATATCTAGGCTAAAACTCCATAAAGAAATGTTGAATTCAAAAAGTTCAAGAATACCAAACTGCCTTTGCCATTCCTGTTGTCACAAAGGACACTCCCCCATCAGCGATCTGGAAACCTACTAGGGTAGGATGGGAACTTACGTTCGCTTCCATTTGTTGAAGACTTTTTCTTAGTTGGTCTTGCTCCACTCTGAGGGCTTCATCTATAACTTTTAAGTCATCATTTTCCTTAGTGACAAGTCTTATTTTTTCAAGGTTTTCATACACTTGTTGAGTCAATTTTAACTTCTCTATTTCTATGTTCTCCAGAGTTGAATTCTGGGCTTCTAGCTGCTTCTTCAATTGCTCCATTTCATCCACAGTTTCCTTGAGCTCAGCTTTCACTTGAGAAAGTTGATGTGCTTTTTCTTGGAGTTCTTGGCTCTTAAGACAACCATATAATAAGTTAGAGCACTGAACATAAGCACAAAACCCCCAAACAACAGTCTTAAAATTGAATCAGAAAATCTTGTGACTCAAATTTAGACAGGTTCACAGCCTGTTTCCTATCATTACACAGAAGATCTGACGCCATCTCCCAGTTATTCAGATTAAAAAATACCTGCACTTCTAGGGCAGTATGTGTGTGTGCTAAGTCCCCTTGAATACGTGACATCTCATCTGCCTTAGCAGACACGCTCTCTCTGAGACTGACGATAGTCTCCTGGTGCTCTTGCAGATGCACACGAGCCACTCTCAGCTCCTCCTCTTTTTCCAGACCCTTAATTATCAGGAAAAGAAAGAAGACACTGAAGAAACACATTTCAAGCAGAAGCTACAAAAGGAAGTAGAAGTCCTCTTGTCCTCTCAGGTCCCCGGTCCTCTCTCTTGAGCTGCTCTGGGATGTGACCACGTATTCTAGATGAGCCACTCACTGTCCGTTTATCTTTCCCCAGGAAAGGACACTACAAACTCAGTGCCAGCCTACTTTGTTAGCTAGGCACAGCATTTCATAGTCCAAATAGACTGTTCTTTGTTTTACCAGCCCCCTGTTAGTGGACAGTGTGTATGTACTACATACATCTTTGTAGGACTGTGTAACGTGCACAGTGTAAAAAGCTACAACTAGACTCTCAGGGCCAGTTTTATACGTGGCCACCCCCAAGCCCAGTAGTCATTAGGACATTAAGCTGCATGATGGCAGAAAGACAGCAACTCACTCTAGTTGCTGTCTCTTTAAGGCTCTCCTTCAGCTGGTCTCTCTCTACTGTGAGGCGCTCCTCCAAACTCCTAAGCTCATCTCTTTCTTTTGCTACAGATCCCATTTCTTCAAGGGTTTCATGAAGCCTTTGAGTCAAGTTAGCATTTTCCATTTCCACCCTTTCCAGAGTTGACTTCTGGGCCTCCAACTGCTTAGTCAAGCATTCCATTTCACATGCATCTCCTTGAGTCTCCTCAGTTGTCTTCATCACAAGACATTCACGCTCTTTGTCCTGAAGTTCTTGGAGCTGAGAAAATAAGTTAGGTCACAGGTACACAGAAGTGGGTTTTGTTTGTTTTTAAGAGAAAGGAAGGTGTACACCTAAACCTTCCTTAGTCTGATGGATGCTGTGTACTCTGTGATGAGAGACAGGAGGGAAAGAAGAACTAAGCACCTGTCCTTTCCCACTTAACCAGGATTGTCACCCTAAGTCCCCCCCTACCCGCTGCTTGATCTGCCTTTCCTGAAACATTTCATGAATGAGTAATTTCTATGTAGTCATTCAGATGAATATGACGTTTTTAGTTCCTTTTTCCTTATCATTACAGAAAAAAATCAATAAACCTTAATAGGTGACATCACAATCATCTTAGTCTTATTTTTGTTTCTCCCAAATTAGCAGACAGAAACTTACCTTAGCGCCAATTTCTTTAATGTTTTCTTTCTGTTGTTCATTTTCCACATCAAGAGCCTCTCGGATTCTTTTCAGTTCATCTCTTTCCTTGATTAGAACTCTCATTTCCTCTTGACTTTCTTCTAGTTGTTTAGTCAGCTGGAGCCTGTCACTTTCTATCCTTTGTAGTGTTGAGTCCTTGGCTAGGAGAAGCGCCTTGACTTGGTCTAGTTCATTCATTTTCTCTTGAGACTCACTAGTTTCTTTTATATTAAGTTGTTCCTGTTTCTCATTGAGTTCTTGAACCTTCAAACAAAGATAAGTTACCAGCACAATATACAGGGGCACTCTCTCTCTCTCTATCTCTTACTCCCTTCCCTCCCTCCTCCCCACCTATTTTAAGGAAAATATACAAAATAGGTTCCAAAATAATTCAGTATGTAAACAGTAGTCATCTCCTCCAGGTTCCCTCTCACCGTCAATTTACCTTTCTCTCTAGTTCATCAGTGGCCGACTCTAGCTGTACACGAACACTTGACAGCTCAGTTTCCTTTTGGGAGAGCCTCACTCTCAGTGCATCAGTTTTCTTCTCTTGCTCTTTCAGGCAACAATGAGCAATGTTAAGTTCCTCTTCAGTTTCTAGATGCTTTAGTATTAGAGAAAATTCCAAGACATTTATGGAAATATAACCACATAGTATAACTAACTCCTTTTATACAAAGCCAAGAGGAAAAGCTTTGCTTATAAAGTTCTCCAGAAATACAGAGCAAAGAGGAAACTATTTTAGTTGTAATATCTCTTGAGATGCTGCAAATGCTCATGCGCTGTCTGAAGAAGCTGCTACATACACAGCAGTTCACCTTTCTCCTTTGACCAATATAGCACACTGAGCCCACGGGTGAGGTAGTGGCATGTACACATTGGTGGTAACCAGCAGCTCTTTAATTAGACTGAAGACCTGCTCTGTGAGAGGGAAATCATACCTGGGACTGGAAACCTAGACAACTATTCAGGGTTATGGAGGTCATGCATCCTGGAAGAAAATCTATATATAAACATCTTTTTACTAAGGCAGCACAGTCCCTAGCTACCTTCTAGTCCCTAGCTACATGTCTGTCCTTTTCCCGACTCAAGCACTTCTATTTCTTCTCAGAGCTTGACGCTGACTCTGCCTTTGTACTGCTCATCATGGTTACACCTCACCCGTTACTTAGGAGTCTCACTGCCCTTTCCTTCCACACTGAAGAAGGCTTCCACATCTTAATCCCATGACAATACATTTGATAACTAAAGATAATTACAGAAGAAAATAAGTTAGACATTTTCTTATGTAATGGAGATCGGATCCAATGGCTCATTTCCAGAGGAATTTTCCCATATCTTCTCCCATTCTCCAGGCAGTTAATATGTTTTATTTAAGGGCTCACTGTATTGTCAAGTATCCCATTAGACAAAGCTTAGAGATAAAATTGTGAGTTTTTTTTTTTTTTCCTCTTTCTTTCTATCATTTCTACCAGAATCATACTTCAGGGGGAAAAGATAGATACAATGCCAGATTTCACCAAACAGAAGAGAAAGGATCAGAGCATTAAAAATAAGACCGTAGCAGAGCATCACAGGAAAGGAGGCTGCAGCAAGAACAGACAGCAGCAGGGTCTACGGTCCTGGGCCTCATGGGCCATTGTTAAAGAGTAACAGTAATACAGTGAACAAATTCAAGAGAACATCACTTTGTCTCAGAATGGGAACTGTGTTAGACATGTCTAAGAATGAATGCTGGGCGGCTGGTGAGTTGACTCAGTGGTTAAGAGCACTTTTTGTTGAAAAGTACCCAAGTCCAGTTCCTAGCACACACATGAAGTCTCATCACTTCCTTGGGAATCAGGCATATATGTAGACAAAACACATTTACATATAAAATAACAAAAATAAATCTAAACAAAACAAATGCAGGGAGCTATAAAGAAAACAATTAGCTGCAAAGAGCCAATAACAAGTAAGTGATCTTGTATAAGGGTACTGGTAATGTGGACAGAAAAATGGGAGGGTTTTAGTGCAGGCCATGTGTATATAACACACACACCCCAACAAAGTTTGGAAACTGTATTACAGAGTGAGTGAGGGGGAAGACAGAGTAAGAGGCAAGGGTAATTTCCAGGTTTGTAACAGAAGCAATGAAGAAGACAGTAGTTCCTTACAAGAGAAAAGATTTCTTGACAATTCATTACAGGCTCTCACTTATTTGTCCTGGACTCCCAGAGTGCTGAGATCACATACAGTGCCCTATCACCAGGCATGGCATGGAGGGCTGGACTCAGGAAGAAAGAAAGAAAATATTTCTTTCTGTCTTCCCTTTTCTGAGATTAAAGCACTGATTTTTCTAAGTCAATTTTGAATACTCAAGCACAAAGACGTTCAGTTTCAATCATTTTGTTACATTCAGGAGCAATTTTAAATTATTCTGTTTCATGTGACTCCATGATTAAGAAACATTTGCAAAAAGTTAGTAGTAAGATTTTTAAATGTGACACAAGCAACCCTTTTCTAAGGACTGAATTCTGATAAAACACCAGTGAAGAAGGAAGAAAGAAACTCATTTTATCCAAGCATATAATGCCTGTAGCCTAGAACTGGGGAAGTGGAGACAGGAGAAGTATGAGTTCAAGGCCAAGTCTGGCTACATGAGACTATCTTACAACAAAATAAAGCACTCACTTTAGTCAAAGCTGCTTTCACATCTTCTTTCAGCTGGGCACATTCGACATGCAGTGCTAGAAGCATCACTTTCAGGTCATCCCTCTCTTTAGTGAGACATTTCACCTCTTTCTGACTTTCTTCAAGTTTCTCAGTCAGCCCAAGCCTTTCTGTGTCCTCTGACGGCTCTGAACCCATTGTTGTGGAGTGTTCTCCCAATGGCTCCAGCTCACGCGCTTTTTCTATGTCTTCTGATGGCTCTGAACCCATTGTTGTGGAGTGTTCTCTCAATGGCTCCAGCTCACTCGCTTTTCCTGGAATCTCACCCGCATCTTCCACATTAGAAAGTAGCTCTTGCTCTTGTAGCCCTGGGGTCTTGTGATATTCATAAAGCACAAGGTTACTATCTAGAGATTATAATTTTTTTTTTTAATGGAAAGGGTCAGTAAATTTTACCCAGCAATGAACATGACTTTGAACCTTGAAGATACTCTGTTGGATTGATAAGTCTCTATTATGCACTCACTGCCAATCCCTTTTGATTCTAAGATGTCTACGCTCAGTCTGCAATGCTTTCTTTTCACCTTAGACCCAAGGTCAACCAATCTTTATATATTGTCATCATCCTATTAACTCCGTCAGCTACAGGCTTAAATTCTAGACTGGTTCTCAAATTATAAGCAAAAAGAGGAAATTGCTTTAGGTGCTTATGAATATTCCAGTAAATGTATAGTCCCCTTCTTTGTTGAATCCAAATGCTATCTCCCAAGTTTTCTGTTTGTGCACACTTATTCCCTGTTCACTCTAGTTCCTACTGGAACGATAACTTTGTATATCATATTTCTACAGGTATACAATTAGAATCGAGGAATTGTTTAAAACATGAATACACATTTGAGAAAAAGACCTGTTTTATTATACCATAGTTTCAATGCTTGGCAAACAGTAGTTTGCCCAGTTATCCCATTGTCATCTTTTCCAAAGCACTTACAATTATTTGATGGTATCTTATTCATTTGATTGCTCATTTTTCAGCTATTTCCTTCTACTACATGTCCCTCTGCTACTACTGTTTTCTTTTTTGTTTCTCTTTCTTTCTTTCTTTCTTTCTTTCTTTCTTTCTTTCTTTTTTTTTTTTTGTAACAGTCTTACACAGTTCAGGCTATCCTTAAACTCTCTGTGGAGTCCAGGAAGGTCTTGAACTCCTGATCCAACCCCCAAATTCTGAAATTTTAGGTATGCACACAAACATACCTGACTTTCTCATTATATCTATAACCCAGGCTATGTATGCCACAGCAGACAGTCAACACATTCTTACTCACTGAATATACCATAAGTACTTATTTTCCTTCAAAAGAGGAAGAAAGAAGTAGTATGTAGAAGAGCATGAGGTAAAAATGACATACATACCTCCTCTTGCCATTGGGTACGGGACTTTTCTGTGTCCTTGGTGCTTGCTATTTGAGCTTCTTTCCCAGTAAGGCTGCTTCTTAGCTCCTCGATGATTTCTTGGTGCTCTTTCAGATGTGTGCGAGTAGTGTTTAGTTCTTCTTCTGTCTGGAGGCGCTTAGTAAGTAAAATTGAAAGAATTTTATACTATTCGCTCAACACTGCCTCCCTCTTTCCAGTTGACTAGGTTTCTAAAGAAACATTTAACTGATAAAGAAAAGGCTACAGTATTACTTACTATAGCTTCCATTTCTCTCACATATTCTTTAAGTTGCCTTCTTTCTAGTTCAAATGATTCCTGTAATTCGCTTAGCTCATTTCTTTCTTTTGTTAGTGATTTCATCTTCTCACAATTTTCATGAAGTTTCTGAGTCAACTCAAGTCTCTCTGCCTCCACGTACTCCAGTGCCAATCGCTGGCTCTTCTCCGTGGCAGTCATCCTTTGCTGCATCTCACTCATATCTTCTTCTGCACTAACAAGTTGTTGCTGCTTTTCTTGGAGTTTCTGGTTCTTAGGAGAGACAATTTTTTATAATTATCATGTTGCTGATATTTTGCCAAATTTTTACATTAACAGAGCATTGTTTACATCAGGCAGCATTAAAAGTAAAAGTAAACTCGCCTTTAGACAGCATGTTTATGGGGAGGTAAAACAACTCAGGACTATCTAGAAACTCAGAATGTGAATTTGATGCAAGTCTAAATGTCGAGACTAGATGCTTTTGGATTACAGTGGTTCCTCAAATCAAGGACAGAGAAGGACAAGGAGAAATCTGGAAAATTGAGTTATAAAAAATAGCATCAGAAACTGAAGTGGTGCAGTTCCAGGGCAGCTGGGAGATATCAGATACTAGTTAGAAGCAAAAAAAAGATTTCACTAAGCAATCAAAAGCAGCACTGCTAACACTACAACTTTTAAACTCTAAGGATCAGCAATGCTGTCAAAGCTGCAAGTAGAGGCTCACACCTCTACTAGAGAATCCCAGCACAGGGAGGAAGAGTCTGGTGGGTCTTGGTGAGTTGGGGGCCAGCCTAGTCTACATAGTGAATTCAAGGACTACTAGAGCTACTTAGTGAGAGCCTGTTTCAACACGTGCACACACATCCGAAACAATAGTGACATAATGCATTTTTGATTTTGTAAGCCACTAACTTTGTGGTAATTCTGATCTTCCCTTGGAAACTTACATAGGTTAATAGAGAAAGCAAGGTGAAATAAGAAAATAAAGCTAAAAAGCCAAGAGACTAAAATATACAAATACTGATTCCAAATAACCATATTCCTTACGATATAAATAAATAATAATATACATATCATTGTGATGATATATTATACATGATTTAATAAAGCCAATGGAGATCAAACTGCAAAGCTAGCCACAGCCATAGAGCCAGGCAGTGGTGATACACACCTTTAACTCCACCAGCCACACTAGCTAGCTATAGAAGCTGGGCAGTGTGTCATACACCAGGAGACAAAGGCAGATGGATCTCTGTGAGTTCAAGTTCATCCAGGGTTACATTAGAGTGAATCAGTCTAAAAGAGAAACAGCTTACACAAAGGAGATCTCAGTACTTGGGATCCTATACCTTTAATCCCAGCTCTAGAGAGGTATATAAGACAGGAGCAGGGCATTCAGTAGTCAGTCTCAGAGATTCATTTTCCAGTTGCACTGAGGACAGTGCAGTGCTTTCAGCTTGAGGTAGAGGTAAGAGCTAGTGACTAGCTTCTTTGCTTTTCTAATTTTCAGCTTGAACCCCAATGTCTGTCTCTGGGTTTCTGTCGTGTTACATATCATTTGTTTATTGAGAGATGGAGTCTCACTGTGTAGCCCAGGTTAGCTTAGAACATAATACGAAGCCCAGGCTGGTGGAGATTTACAGTGATCCCTTTGTCTCAAGACTCCAAACTGTAGGGATTATGAGTATGAGGGACCACACCTCGCTTTTAACAAATGTTTACGGGATGGCCCAAATAAACTCAGAAGCATTAGCTGTTACCACTGTTGACTTTACTTCTTAGAGGAGTAAGAAAAAGACACAAGGTTTTAAAGTGAATTCAATTATATAAAAGGGGTCAGGGTTAAGAAAAAAAAAAAAGAGAGAGATATTAAGAATGCTCCCCAGGACAATGACACAAACTACAGTATGTCATCTAGCAATGGCGCTGCTCTCATCCTAAACAGAAGGAAGTCTGAGTGTCCTTTAGAGTCACTCAGTTGCTGGAAAATCTCATGTTTCACATGTCTTACAACAGCACTTTTCTTACCAATGATTCAGAAACACGTCAGCATCCAAGATGGTGATGGTGAGCAGTCTTATGTTTCAAAGAAACTCAACACAACTCCATATGGGGAGAATCTTCATTTGTTGACTAATATATAAGTACTTAGCAGAGTGTCTCATCCATGGTAGTACTCAATAAATTTTGATGGATGACTACATTATATGATTAATTTAGACCACATAAGACTGCTTGCCTCTTACCTAAAGATGTTGCAATTATATAATCTTAAGTAATGTCAATTACTTAAGAATTCATTATGAATTGAAACTTCAAGCTGTTAGCATTGATACTTCTCCATTTTGTAGATAGTCGCTATTCCTTGATTTAAGACTAGAGAAAATTTATTAGCAATATGTGTGTGTGGTTAAGACAAACAGTTAAGAAGACAGCTTGGGAAGTTCACCTTACCTTTTCCTTTAACTCTTCTTCTACTTCTGCCAATCTCTCACACACCCTGGAGAGTTCTTCACTCTTCTTAGTGGCTATGTCTTTTTCCTGTGTAGCTACCTCTTGCTGCCTTTTGAGTTCATCTCTAAGAGCTCTTAATTCCTCCTGGTTTTCAATCGTCTAGAGTTACAAAAAAAGTTCTAGATTAGAATTTAGAATATTTGCTTAACTTCATGAAGTCAGGAGAACTCAGAAATTACTTTTCATTCAAAACGAGGAAATCAAAGTGAGACTACATAGAAAAGGCAACTGTAAAGTCATGTCAGTCTGCTTTTGATGGCCAAAAAGAGACATTTTTCCCCCTTATGCTTTTATGACTTTGGATTCAAGCACTGATAAACGGCCAGTCAACTCGAAATGGTTCCCATTTTTTTTTTTGCTGGCACTATGAAGATCACACAGCAACAGGCTTGTATATGAATGTCACCAAAACATAACAAGTCAGAGAAAAAACACATTTTGTGTTTGCATCCTAATTTTCATTCAGTTTGTTGATAAACCAGACAATTCTAAATACAGAAAATTAAAACATCACTGCATCCACAGTGATTTTCCTAAATTATTAATTTCAACTCATAAAGATTATAGAACCTTATAATAGATTAAAAGAGAAATGTTAGGAACCAATTTAACAAAATATGTATAATACCCACAAACTATAACATAACATTAAGAGAATAAATCATTAAGGATATGCAATAGCTAGTTAGCTTATGAAAAATGTTCAACATCTTTTGTTGTTAGGGAAAGGCAAAGCAAAATAGGTACATTAGCAAAAGAATGGCTAAAATTGAAAGCACAAATAAAGTATTGGTAAGAGGAAATTTGGAGCCACCAGAATTCTATTTATTTGTTGATGGGAATGTAAAATGGCAGAGGTGGTTTGAAAATCAATCTGGCAAATCATTACCAAGTTAACGCATTAATACCCAGTGGCTCTATTTAGGCAGACATTTATCAAAAGTCATTCACCCTTCCACTTTCATGACATATCCACTGCATACAGATTATACACGAATAAAGTTAATAAAATCTAAAATAAATAGGTAAAAACGTATAGCCAACTGTAGAGAGCTAGGTCTTACCATCTCAATATTTTCTTGTAGATCCATTTTTAATTGTTCCTTTTCTGCTATAATACTTTCCAATGTTTGTTGGAGTCCATTATTCTCCTGCATTAAAGAATGTATTTTCCTCTTTTCTTCAGTTACCTCATTATCGTTAACACCTGCAATCAATGTTTGGGCATTTCCAGCAAGCAGATTCTGCTCTTCGTCTACGTCATTCATCTAAAATATGAATACATTAAGGAAGAATTTAAATAGTTAACAACTACTTTAACATTAGTAAAGTGTACATCACCTATATTTTGTATCAAGTACTAGCCTCATATCAACACACTGACTCCTGTATAATCTCAGGAGTGAGGCATTATTCTACCCCTATTTGCTAAATAGGGAACTTAAATTCCAGAGAGGTAAATTCATTATTGCAAGATCATACAGAGAGCATACAGCCAGCTTTGGATACAAGGGGTCTGGCTCTAGTATTCTTAGATCTATTCACTGAGAAGAGCTGTCTCGGTAGCTGGACACATTGCAATTTTCATGTACACTAGGTGGAGCTGACTCTGTGGACATTCATTTATTCACACTGATCAGATAATCAAGACACATGCCTTTCCTGTCTATACATCTCCTTAAATAATTTCTAAGTTATACAATGGTGGTATTTTGGTCATTTTATTTTATTTTTTGCTACAAAAAGAAGGCTGAGGAATGTATTTGCTTCCCTGAGCACTGATGGTTACAGCTGGAATAAGAAAGAAATACTTTGTTTTGAAGTGGGAAGTATGTGGGCAGCACAGTCAATGGGCTAGGCCTGAACTGAACAAAAAGGAGAAAGGGGCCTGAGCGGTGGCGACAGCCTTCACTTCTGCTTCCTGACTGGAAGAGGATGTGACTGGTGACTCACACTTCTGCTGCCTTAAGTTCCCTGTCATGGTGGTTCATATCTTTTACACTGTGAGGCAAATAAATCTTCCCCTAAACTGTTTTTGTTAGATATTTGTCACAGTAACAAGAAAGCCACATAAAATAATTTGGTAAAATAATGATTCCTCAGGTAGATGAACCAATGGTGAGAAACAACACATTTTGTTACGCTCTATGACTCAGGGAGGAATGGCCTGGCACCAATTTTTTTGTTCTTTTGGGTTTTTTGAGACAGGGTTTCTCTGTGGCTTTGGAGTCTGTCCTGGCACTCGCTCTGTAGACCAGGCTGGTCTCAAACTCACAGAGATCCACCTGCCTCTGCCTCCCGAGTGCTGGGACTAAAGGGTGCCACCATTGCTGGGTGGCCTGGCACCATCTTGAAGGAGAATCTATTGTTAAGAAACGGGCTTCTGTAAAAAGTCTAAGCTTCTAGCAGTTTTACCAGACACTTCCTGATCTTGTCCCTGTTCAAGGCACGTGTCAGTCTCAAATTCGGGGTTCCTAGCCATTAGGAGGTTTTAAGAATACCTTTAAAGCTTGCTGTTACCCTCAGGACTTTTATATCCGCCATAGCTTTTCTCTGAATTATTTACTATCCTAATTTCTCATGGTGTTTACTCCCCCACTTCTATCCTTCAGTAGTGTATTATGTCTCTGCTGCTGTCGTGGAGTGCTGGTTAGGGCCCCTTGGAAAGCAAAGGTTGATGTCCATCATGGCAGGAAACCCAGGCAGTGTCTCTTGTTAAAGAAAGCCTGTAGAAGCAAAGGGAAAGTCATCCGACGTTCGTTTACCTTCTGCTGAATTTCATCTCCCGTCCCTCCCCTGTCCTTTGTATGCAGGTTCTTGGACGTTTCCTCCGCAGCTTTCATTTTCAGCTGGTTAATTGTTTCTTGGTGTTGCTTCAAAGACTCGAGAGCATTCAGTAACTGTTCTTGAGTATCAACATTCTTTGTAAGAGAAGAAGAAAGCAATTTCCATTAGGATGTGAAGCACACTGATCTTATAGTTACATAACGTGACTTCTGCAGTTCTAACCGGTTGAATCATACCATGTTTACAGTGTCCTGAATGTCACTTTTGAGTTGGTCCCTTTCAGTCTGCAGGCTTGCTTGGAGTTGCTTTAGGTCTTCCTTTTCTTGGGTTAAGACTCTGACTTCTTCCAAGGCTTGCTGAAGCCTCTCCGTGAGCACTGCTCTCTCCTTCTCCGCAGACTGCAGGCTGGATTCCCTGTTTTCTAACTGCTCTCTTAGTTCCTCCATCTGATCTGACCTCTCTTGACCCTCGCTTGTTTTCTGCTGAAGCTCTTGAGTCTTGTGGGAAAGCTTTAAAGAAAAAGTGTGATACAGTAAAAGCAGAATGCTGCATTGTACATAGAGACAGACGCGTGTATACAGATGGCACTCAGGAAAACAAGCCCGCTTCTTTTGTTGACAATTTGTACCAACCTCGGCATTCAAGGAATCCAAACTTAAACCAAGTTTTTCTGCTTCTTTAGAGAGATTTCCTATTTCCTGCTTCATCCTCTCACTCTCCTCCAAGACCACTTGGTATTTTTGCTCAAGTTCCATGTGCAGGGTTTTCAGTGTTTGGCATGCTTCATCTCTGCTTTTGTAATTCAGCTGGGAAGCTGCAAGGTCATCTTTAGCGTTTCCGATTTCTTCAAGCAAACCTTGAATTCTACTGTCTTTATGAGCTACTTCAGAAAACAAGTGTTCTCTTTCTGAGGTTATAAAGCACAGCTCTTCAGATTTCTCATGCAGCTATGGGAAAGAAGACATTTAGGGATGTTAGCGAAGTATGATAGATATCCTGAAGCAACTTTCTGAAAACATTTAACATTAGCAAAGATTTGACAGAGGAATGATGGTTATTTTCATTTGCAGCTCTGAGGTTGGAACTCAGAACACAGTGCACACAGGCAAGTATGCAGCCAATCAGCTGTCTACAGTAGAGGGTAATGCTCTTGTTTTCATTTAGCCTGTTTAAATCCATCTTAGATGTTTTTCATGATGTCTTTGGGTTCCAGTTAAAGGATACACGGAGAAGGAGCCAGTAGAAAGAGCTGAGATTTTATCTATTTCCTTAGCTAGCATTTGAAAGCATTTTCTAATATGACCATATGACAGGCACTTTAGGTTTTCCTCAAAATTTGAAACACCTCCCTAACAAAAGTCATTGACTGCAATTCAAATTTCTAAGCATTTAATCTATGGATAAACTATGTTTTTAAGAATTATGTAAGAAAGATCATTTTAAATAATTCACAATACATTTATGGGTAGTTTAATTATTGTGAAAGGGAAAGATGAGAGAGCTAAAAAGTCCACAAAAACAGTTTCTCTATCACATTCTGTAAGAGCTAGTGAGAGCATGCATCGTCTCTTCCCATTCCCATCCCATTAGAGTCTCCTGTCTCACCTCTCTCCTCAGCATTTCTACCTCAGAGGGTAAAGATTTCAACTCTGAGAGCAAACTGACTTCTTTTTGCAAAATTTCTTTGTCTTCAGCTTCTTTATTCAGTTCTCTTTGGAGATCAGTAATCTTTTTCTCCAGTTCCAAATTTGACTGCAAACCTGTAAGTTTTTGACAGATTAGCTTACATTGACAAGAAAGTGACCTAATTTTTAATAGATTTTAAACCACCTCTCAGTTATTATCTACTGCATTTGAAAAATAATTTTAAGCCCCTATTATTGTGCCCATACAAATATTTATGAACATGTACAACAAAGATATTTAAACTGAATACTAAATTCTTTTTAAAAAATAAGAATTTAGCAGGCACTTAATTTTGGGGAAGTACTCAATCCCTTTAGGTAAGTTTCTAGGAGTCAGTGTGCAGATATCTCAATCTGTATATAGTACCTTTGCCTTCTACCAGGGCAGTGAGTTTTGATATTTCTTGAAAAGCAAACTGTAATTCCTTATCTAGATCGACTTGCATTTTCTTTTTTGCCTCCAGTTGGCGTTGATATGCCTGAGTGTCATTTTCCATTTGCTTACAAGAATCTGAAAGTTCATTCTGTTGGAAAAACATTGAAAACTGATGACACCATACTGATCACTACAACTATGACATTATAAATTCTGAAAAATTACTTACAATTTTCTCCTGCAGCCTCAGATTTTCACTTCTAAGAAAGGCTGCCTCTCTCTTGGCATCAAGGGCCACAGTGTCCATATCAGACAGCGTTTGCATCACCTGTTTTAGTTCTTCAGTGGGTTCCTAGACAGATGACAAAAGGGTCTCAGGAGATCCAGTTTTGGCGGATTTGGAAAATATGCTGGAGAACATATATACATGTGTGCTATTCCTAGCTGATCAAAAAGTGTGAAGATAGGATAAAAATTCTGGCCACACGTTTCTATATCTTAACCGCTACTCTGGAAGTAAACTTTAAGAAATTGGTTAGTGTTTAATAAAAAACTTAAACCATGTAAGGTGGCACACATCTTTAAATCCCAGAACTGGAGACAGAGGCAGGTGGATTTCTTGAGTTAAGAGGCCAACCTATCCAACCTATAGAATTTCAAGTCAGCCAGAGCTGACAGGGAGACACTGTTTTAAACCAACCAACCCACCCACCGACACTGAGAAAAAAAATCTAAAACTACTGAAGAAGTTACTTCAAATCTCTCTTGGTAAAATGTTGATAACATTAATAGTTCATTAATCAAAGATTAATGCTCATATAAAGTATATGTAAATTGATTATAACCAAACTTGGCATACAGTTGGCTCAGTATAACCATCTACTAGGATGATTATGATTATATACTAGAAATGCCAAGTCAATCACACAACCAAAGAAAAGCTAACTTTACCGATGAGTACGACAAGTCTATTTTCATCTTTTCTGACTTCTGGGCATCTATGTATTTCTGCAGGTCTTTAATCTGATCCTCTTTTTCTTTAAGAAGCTCTACTTTTGAACTTATTTCATTCTAAAAGAATCAAAGAACAGTGAAACTGAATTTAGTAAATGATTTGAATTTAAAATGACAAAAGAACATATTTAAAAATTTAAATTGTTTAAAATCACTAATATTTAAAATATAGCTCCTCTATTTTCTGCAATCATGGTTAGTTACAGGATGCACATTTTAAGTAGCAGCTACTTATCAAAGAAGTATCAAGATAAATGTTTACCTCAAGTTCTTGATTATATACTTCTGCATGTTTAACTAAATTCTTTAAGTTGGAAATTTCATGAATCAGTTGCATCTGTAAGAGCATGTGAATAGGAAAATAGCAAACTAATTAATAGTTAATAAATCAAAAAAGAAAGAAAACCACAGCTGACTTGAACATCAGGGAGCTCATGGACCCCAGACTGACAGCTTGGAAACCAGCATAGGACAGAACCAGTCCCCCTGAACGTGAGTGTCAGTTAGGAGACCTGGGAAGTTTATGGGGTCCCTGGTAGTGGAACAGTATTTATTCCTAGTGTACGAATGGACACTAGGAGCCCATTACCCACAGAGGATTACTCTCTCAGTCTAGACACATGGGGGAGGGCCTAGACCCTTGACCCAAATGATGTGACGGACTTTGATGATCCCCCATGGAAGGCCTCACCCTTTCTATGGAGCAGAAGAGGGATGGGATAGGGGATTGTTGGGGGACATGGGAGGATGGGAAGGAGAGGAACTCGGATTGATATGTAAAATAAGATTGTTTCTAATTTAAATAAAAAAATCTAAAAAAAAAATAAAAGAAAGCATTTTTTACTGTTTCAGAAACACCCATCTTAGGAGGGATTGAGAGATTTGTTCAAGCTACTGTAGTAGAACACCTCATAATCTAAAAATACAAAAAAAAGGGGCTGGATAGTTGGCTCAACAGTTAACAGGACTGGCTCTCCCTCCAGAGGATTCAAGTTCGGTTCCCAGCATCCTGTTAGGCATCTCACAACCATTTGTAACTATAGCTCTACAAGACCAGACTCATACATGTACCTACTTACACTTTAAATGCACATGCATACACCTACATGCAATAAATACTAAAAATAAGATCTTAAAGAAAGCCGAGAAGCACTCCCCAAACAAACTCAGATACACATATCAAACACATGAGGGAGGGAAGGGAATCCCAGCATGTTCTCATAATTATTGCATATGTCACACTGACATCACTAGCAAATCAGCAAATTCTAATCACAATTTTAATAACCTATATTTTAGATTTTAGACTGTGTTTGGAGAATCTTAACTTTTTCCCTTCCAGTCTGTTACCCATTTGGCTCTACAATGACAGGATTTGAATCTGGTTTGGGTTGGCTCACTTCATGTGGGAACGTAAAGCTATTGCTCTTGCTGTGGAGAACCTGCATAGGTGTGGGACTGTCAACTCTAACTTTGCTCATCTATTCTCAGGGAAACTGAAAAGAATGCTACTGCTTTATGTTGTTAAACTACCTAAAAGTCAAAAGGAGAAAACATTTGTCTTAATGTCATTTATCAAAGTGCCTACAGTTCTGATTTTTTGACTACCAGAAACTTTTATAGTAAGCCACAAGAGACCAAAACCAGCCAAATAGCCAAACAAAATCACTTTGTGGTAGAACAAAGTCACTAAACCCTTCAAATGTTCCCATTTGTTCTCCTGTTCAAGTACAATGGAAAACAAATCTGGTTATTTTTAAGAAGAATATAAATGAATTACCTCTTGGTTACATTCTCTAAGTGTGTACACGTATGAAAAACAGCAAAACCTCAATCTTAGAAATAAATATCTTCATGAGAATGATAATGTTGTCAAAGGTGTTTATTTTAAGTTCATTATTTCTATTTCTCTTACCTCTTGATCTTTCTCTGCTTTTCTTTCTAGAGCTTCAAATTCCTCTAAGTCATTTTTTTCTTTTAATTTCAATTTCAGTTCTTCATTTTCTCTTCTTAGCTGCTCATAGTCCAATACTAGATCATCATATTGAGCATGAAGTGAGCTTAACTCACTTTCTACGTTTTCCTATTAGAAACAGAAACAAATTTTCCAATCAGAAAGTTCAGATCCACTTGTTAATTGCTTAGCTAACTAATATGGAGATTCAATGAACAACCAGTTCAACTCTGAGCCAGTTGATACAGGCAATTCTCTTCTTTAGTATTTGCATAATCTTGTTAACTTGAAATAGGAATAGGCTAGCTGAAGATCGTAAGATAAGTAATATGTCTGCCTGTCCATGACAGGGAAAGACCAATTGAGAAAACAGAAGACACTGAAGCCTGCCTGATCACATCACTGACTGCGTGACAACCCTGCTCATTTAACACCTCCTCTGACTCATTCCTGAGAGGGCTTGGAAAGGAAACAGAAATAGGATGACTGGATTTTAAGCTGCCAATGGCTTCCATGTTTTACTATACCATCTTTGGGGAAGCAGTTTCTATTTTCTATGCTACTTCTAGAAAAACTATGATGGACAGGAAAAAAATCTTAACACAAGAATTTTAACTATTTATTTTTTGGTGTTTTATTATTTTTGAGAGCCATTTAAAATTTAAACTAAAAAGTGTCTGAGTGTTTTTCCAGCATGTATACAAATGCACGTTGCACACTGTCTGTGGAGATCAGAGAAGGAGCTGTATCCACTGAAACTGAATTTACAGATGGGTGTGAGCTACCATGTGGGTGCTGGGAATTGAACTCAGGCCCTCTGCAAGAGCAGCCACTGCTCTTGACTGCGAGTCATCTCTGCATCCCTCTATTTTTAAGTAACAAATTCTAGAATATGTGCAGTACACAAAAACACTTTGCCTTGATAGTCATCAACTAGTAGTGGCCAGAATTACAGGAAGCACTGCAGATGCTTCCAAAATAAAAACAAAAATTTCCTTTCTATACATTTAGATAACTTTACTATATACCCGAGACTTGTCACTTTTAAATCAGTCATTTACCCTCAAGGGATTTATCAAATCAAAATATAAAATTTAAAACTATCACAAATCCTAAGATTTGTTAGTAAGAGCTGGAAGCCAACTTCTATTTTATTAGCATATACACACTCTACAGAATGACTAGTCTATCTCTAGATATCTCACAGCTGTCAATCAGAGATACAAAATGAGAACAGTCTTCCCTGTAATTAAGCTTGTCCTGATTTCAGTCAGGCAGTGTTAACAATGTAGTAAAACAATGTAGCATATCCAGCAAGAAATCAATAACAGCAGGAGAGATGGCTCAACACTAAGAATACTTGCTACTTACTCTTCCAGCAACGCTGGGTTCTGTTCCCAATCCCCACATATAGCAGGGATCTGACTGACGGCCTCTGCTGACTTTGCAGGCACCAGACATGCAGTGGTGTGCGCGCACACACACACACACTCTCTCTCTCTCTCTCTCTCTCTCTCTCTCTCTCTCTCTCTCTCTCACTCTCTCTCCCTCTCTCTCTCTCGCTCTCTCTCTCTCTCACACGCAAACACCCATGCACAGGCAAAACATGCACACGCGTAAAATTAAAATTTTTAAGAAAAACAAAACAAAAAATGAAGCATAAAGACAGATGCCCTAATGAATACTTAAAGTTACCTCGCCTAGTAGTTTTGTTGCTGAACTCCATTCTACCTCAGTCAATGGTTCCAGAGTGTTATTGAACACATCCGACTCAATAGGGAGTGCTATAAGTAAGAAAAAAAAAAAAAGGATGCATGTCATGAATATATTTAGTGTAAGTTTTGCTAAAAATAAAAATGGGATTAATAAAGAATTCTGAGTAAATGTAAGCTCAAATTAACTTATACTCAGGTATGACTGCCTACAATAGAGATGATCACTTATCATATTACTGTTTGAAGTAAGAAAGCTGGCTGGAACTTGTGATAAAATAAAGACCTTTGAAACAATACAGATAAAAATGACAAATTCTGCATCTGAGATTTGACCAGTGTTAGTAAAGGTGATAATAATGATAAAGATGGCAATAATGCTGGAGACTTAATTTTAGACACAGTCCTATAGAAATGACATAAATGATACACTCTGAAAACTAGAATAAATTTAGCTGGATGTTACGTGAAGACCGTACCAATTTAACTGAACATCAGAGTTCAGTTAAATTAATTAAATCAAGCACCTGACTTGCATGCTTCAGCTACACTACATTGTTTGGTTTTGTAGGGTCTTACTATAATCCAGTCTAGCTTTGAATGCCTGGCCATCCTCCTGCCTTAGTCTCTCAAGCGCTGGTATTATAAACACAAGCCACTGCACTGGATTTCTTAAGAGTGATGAATTGTAAATCAAGTGCATGTTCTCTATTATAATCATATCTGAACTATACATACTTTTTAAACCATATTTCTCAGATTAGCCAAGTTAGTGTCTATGGAGACACATTTATAACTCAATGTAGTTCCACTTAAGAAAGTACTCACATTCATCATTCTCTCCCAATCTCATTAGAGAATTTTCTCCCAAAAGAGTCACTGAAGTTTTATTTGCTCTTGTTGTTACATTTGTTGGGACTTTAAATTCATTTACATAGTTCGAATCCTTCATTTTGTTAATTTTGCCATAGCACCAAGTAACTCTTCGTTTCTTTTTAACCTTAAAAAACAAGAACAAAAGAAATCAAAATTATTTCACATAGACCCAAACTCAGACAAAAGAAAATAAGAAAACTACTTCTTATTTATTTAAACACCATGGCAGGATCTCAGGTCTGGTTTTGTTTTAGGACTTGAGAAACCCACACAGAGCTCTGTGGCAGAGAACATGCTTACTGTGCACAAGGCCCTGGGTGATCAGACCAACCAATAAAGAAAAGTTAAGTTCTGACTAAAAGTACGTGTATCTTTCCTCCTACCCAAGCATCCTCCCGCCCCCTGTTACATCCAACAGTCTACCCTGACTCACTCAACACTGCTCTCCACAGCCAAGGAACAAAACCCAAAACATCAAATACTGTTTATCCCTCAAATTTTTCCCCTAGTTTGTCCAATTTGCTCCCTTTCCAGAGCCATAATTCTCCTCGAGATGCAGACAGTAGCTATACCTTTGTGAACCTCAATGTTGATGGCACATACAAGGCTCTGTTGCCTGTAGCATAAGGCCTCATTCAGATTCCTCAGTATGCTTTAATATGCCCTGGCCACTGTGCATTTGAAGTTCAAAGTATGTTTACCATGCAGTTGTAAAACTCTTAAAGGTTTTGGTAATGATGGTTACTTCTTGAAGCATCTTTCATTGAGCTATTATTTCCTGTTCATCAATTAGTCAACCAATACTTCTTGAATGTCTGTACTGTACATCTGCTAGTGATTTACACAACACGCCTATTGGTAGTTATACAAAATACTTACATTAGGATTTTCTGCATAGAAAGGACTGTTACACACATTCATGAGACTAGATATCAAGTTATCCTTCAGGCAAGATCAATAGTTAGGAACTGATGGAACTAAGATTAGAGTTCAATTGGTCTGGGTTTGAAGGCTACCCACCTAACCAAAATATCCATCATGTCTACTGGACAAACAGAAACCTATCCCAGGAAAAACAAAAGTACACTGGCTTAAATGTAAGATTTTGAACTTTACACTGATTTATATGCTAATTGGTTTTCCTGATTTAATATTACTATTAAATATCCACTTTCATAAACCCTAGTGGATCTTTGCAGGTAGCTGTGGGAATGCACAGCAGTGACAACTAGTGTTTAACAAGTCAACCTGCTTGGCAAAGCCATGGGGCTATTGATTGGAGGCTGGATGACACATTGTTCCTATCCATAGCTTCTCAAGTGCCACTGCTACGCCTCCCTTATTTAATAAGAACAGCTGTGGGGTTCTTCCCACAGTCCTTTGGTGGTGTGTTTTATAATTTTGGGGCACACATATCGCTGTGGATGGTCAGGAAGATGATCCTGTACAATTCTGATGGATAAAAATAATATTAGGATATTTTACATTACTCAGACTGACACAGGATTCACAGTTCCAAAGACAGGCTTTTATAGAGACAGCTAATTTTGGACTTCAGAGCAGATTCAAAGCAGGCTTGCTGTCCCAGGAGACAAATATCTGGTTACCCCTAGAGACAAATACACAAAGTCATTTTCCTAGGTGTTGTTTTGCTGATTCAAGGTCGGAATAGAAGCAACTTTTTCTCAGTAATTGAGTTTTTACATGTAGTCTCAGGCTCAAGGTTCAGTCAACTGTTTACTATCTGGGAACCCTCACCAACTTAGAGCAACATGCATGGGTCGGTGTGACATTCCTAGCCCGAGAGAAACTACGTGACTTGTGTTATGAGAATGGGTTGGGCCCTGAAAATGTAACTTATAATTGTCCAGAGTTTGGCTGCAGTAACGCAGGGAGAGAAAGAGAGAGGCAGCAACTGTGTGGAGAGAAGTGGCTGTGGAGAGCGATGTAAGAGCTGCTGAAGAATATGGTGTGTGTGTGTGTGTGTGTGTGTGTGTGTGTGTGTGTGTGTGTGTGTGTGTGTGTGTGTGGACTTTGACATGAAGAAGCATGAGACAAGTGGAAAGAGTGAGTGAATGATACACAAGAATGGATGGGCGTGAGAATGAGTGTAAGAGAGTATGTGTATGTGTAAAGAGAAACACGTAACAGCACATAAAGAGATGTTGTAATTGAATATAGAAATATGAGCAGGAGCCTTTAATCCCAGCACTCGGGAGGCAGAGGCAGGCGGATCTCTGTGAGTTCGAGGCCAGCCTGGTCTCCAGAGCAAGTGCCAGGAGAAACTCTGTCTTGAAAAACAAAACAAAACAAAACGAAAAAAAGAAATATGAGCAGGAGCTGGGCGTTGGTGGCGCACGCCTTTAATCCCAGCACTCGGGAGGTAGAGGCAGGGGGATCTCTGGGAGTTCAAGGCCAGCCTGGTCTACAGGGTGAGTTCCAGGATAGGCTCCAAAGCTATACAGAGAAACCCTGTCTCGAAAAAGAAAAAAAGAAAGAAATATGAGCAGGAGAGATATGTATGTAAAGAGAGACTGTCGAGAAAGGCCGACTATTTTAAGTTGACAAAGGAGAAGGTTACCATCAGGTAAGCGTGTGCTTTTTCATGTTTTCTTAGGTTACCAGCAGAAAGCATGTTCCCTTCATATAGGAAAGTCTAGCAACCCTGCAATAAGAATCTTTGCTAGCCCCTGCTGCCTTTGTGGATTTTTTACATACGCTGGTGCTAACTGGGGGCTACCCCTGCAAAGGGAGTTACAGATCTTGGTTCCTAATCATCTTATACATTTCATTAGACTTTACTATGAATCATAGCTCAGACAGTGTTTATCAACACCCCAGACTTTGTGAATTCATATCTCTTTACGAGGAAATTAAAACTTGCTTCTTAGGTAGCGATGATGTATGACAAATACAGAGTGCTCTAGGTTTCTTAAAGATCCTTTAGTAGCGGATGAAAGGACTAAGTCTTAAGTACACACAAAGGCCTGCTCTGCTTTTTGCCATCTTGCTGCTCTACCTTTAGCTCCTGCTGAAATGCAATAGAAGACGACGTCACCAGCATCCTCTTCAGGTTCTGGATTTTCTCATCCTGTACTTTCTGAAGCAAGTCTTTTTCATCCAGAAGCTGGGCCAGTTGGTCCTTTTCCATTTCCTGCGCCCGAGTCTTTGTATTTACCTAGGAAATACTAGGTTATGTTAATCATAAACATGGCAAAATTGACTCCTTGAAAGTAGCTTCAACAATAAAAAATTACATTTGCATGTAATCTATGAGAACTTTTAATCTTTTTTTTTTTTTAAAAAAGATTTTATTTATTATTTGTACAGTATTCTGCCTGCATGCCAGCAGAGGGCACCAGATCTCATGTAAGGTGATTGTGAGCCACCATGTGGTTGTCAGGAATTGAACTCAGGACCTCTTAACCGCTGAGCCATCTCTCCAGCTCGAGAACTTTTAATCTTATTGAAGTAAGATACTGTCTACATGCAGGAACTCATCATAGCCAATAGTTACTCAAACTTAAGAGATAAATACGCTTCTTCACATTAGGACGCTATATCTTATGTTAAGATAATGTCGTTAATTCTATTAATTGCCTATGAAGATATGAATAGGTAGGGAAGTCAAAGAAGCTAGAATTTGAAAACTGTAACAGTAGAGATATTCTCATGTCACCTGACATTTTAGCTCACTAAAAACTACTAAAATGGAAGGCTTTTATAAGATATGGGAGCACGATGACAAAACAAAAGAAATGGAATGACAGGCTGCTAGTCTACACTCAGAGGACTAGCTACTCAGGGGAGAGGAGGCATGCAGGAGAGTGCTAAAACACAGAAAGCTGCTAGTCTACACTCAGAGGACTAGCTAAAACACAGAAGGCTGCTAGTCTACACTCAGAGGACTAGCTACTCAGGGGAGAGGAGGCATGCAGGAGAGCGCTAAAACACAGAAGGCTGCTTTAGGTCACTGTACAATCCACATGCAAAGGTACATAATCTCTCAACAGAGCTCAATAATGTCAAGAAATGCCTCCTCCCTCCTTCCACTGTTGAGACAGATGTAGTCTAGGCTGGCTTAGAAATGGCTACACAGCAAAGGGTGATCCTGAATTCCTAGATGTCCGAGCCTCCAAATCCAAGGTACTAATATTACAGGCATCCACTACCAGATTTGGTTTTCTGAGATGCTGGGGATTAAGTCCAAGTCTTTGCACACACCAGATATCATCCTGTTGGCTTAACGACAACTCCAACAGTCAAGAAACAAGATATTTTAGTTCATAGTAAATTTCTTTTGTTGTTGCTGGAGACGGACCCAGGGCCTTATACATTCCAGGTAACACTCTACCACTGAGTTCCATTCTAATTCCTAAAGTTAAATTTTTATGAATTGAATTATTTTAAGTTAAAATCTGCTTGCTTTAAAATTAAGTTGAAGCAATTCAGGTATTAATAAGTTTATAGTTTTTCAGGCAGATCTCCATCATTCTCTATTGGCTCTTAGTCCTTTACCCAAATAAAAACCAT